TGGGAGAAAACGTAAAGATGAGATTCAGAATTCTGGCAGCTTAACATCCTCATTTTTGTCTGTTTAATATGGGAGATAGGAAGCTACCCGCAACTGCAGCGGGTATGTTAACAATAAGTAAAATGTCATGTAACACCTTTCCAGTGATGGTTCCTGTGGTTTGTTCCAGGCAGATCTCTTCCATCAACCCAGAACCAATTAAAGGATCAGGCTCCCACAAGTCACAAAGCAACTATGTCTACTGAGGATCTTAAATTAATGAATATCTTCTCTCTTTCCACTTCGCCAGGGGTTGATTTGAATATCAAAAGCTAGTTACTAGGTTAAGCTTTGTAAAAGAAACACTAAGTTTGGTGTTCCGGACTTTTCTCCATGTAATCCATCAAGAGAAAATATCTTGAATAAAATCTCAGATCGACCGGCCATCTCAGAACCCACAGGACACTGAATCTTACTTTCAAAATACATGCATTTCAAAATGGAATTTACTTCTGGTAAATAAGACATAACCCACTGTTTATTTTACTGGCAAATAATATGGGTTAATAATTTAATCTCTATTTAAGAAATACCACTTCATCAAACCTTAATTGAGCTTAGTCAGCCATTAATTATGGTTCTTATTGACTGAGAAATAAATGGTGGTGGATCTTCCTGACATAATTAATATTTACAGTATTTTTGAGGAATTTAGGCTCATTTGCCCAGGCTGCCCTATCTACGGTGTTTGGAAAATTTAATTAATATTCCTATCAATATTTTAAATAGGCTCAAGAACCTGGAATCACAGAGTAATCATTTTCATGGCTGAGTGGCCACAGGGAGATGCAATTATATTGAAAATTTCATACTGAAGACATTTGATTTGTAAAGCACTATTTATCTTCCTAATACAACCTGGGGAGGGCTTTACACTGAAACTGTAGAATTTACACTGTTCATTTCTAGATGCTGTGGTGAAGCAGGACTGGCACAAGTACTGTCTACTCCATCTCCCCTTGCTTAACTGATTCTTTAATAAACTCTTCAAGAAACATATTTGATTTTAATTCACATCTAACTCATTCAGTTATTTTCTGTAATAAATAAGATCAAAAATGACATGTTTGACCTTAACTGCCACCAGGAAAAACAATTTCAGGTCTGAACTGGATTTTATGAGGCAGTCAATGCTGTTTGGTGTTATCCCATCTCTTACGTCAAGTATTCCGTGTGTGTAAACATTTCCTTGGATTTATGGCACTCTCCTCTAGACCTGAAATCTGGATCAAATGAGGATTAGATCCCAGAACCCCCCTGCCCCTCTCAGTGCTTTTAAAAGCTGGGAAAATCTATAAGGCACTATCTAGCTAGAAAGCATTACCCACCAAGCTCTTTTTGCAGATAAATAAAAAGTGAAATTACTATGCTTAAATTTGCAGCTTCCCCCACTCCATACAAGCTGCGTTTCAGGAGTAGCTCCATGGAATCTTCAGCCACTCTTGAATTTTCTATCATTTCACTCACCTGAAAATATTCACCTAGTGATTCTCATTGACTGAACCCATGGGGTTAGGTGAACAGCTGGGAAGTAAGTCATCAAGAGTAAGTTAAAAGCACATATTCTGGTGTCAGAGAAGCAGCTGTTTGCAGACTTCAGTACAAAAGCTTGCTGACTTGACCTTCAGAGACCTGAATGCTTCCATAGAGGGACAGTTTTGGCAGCATGTGAGAAAACACGCTGCTTGTTAAGCAGTTACAACATTAGCAGGCTTTTACCAGGGACAGTGTGTGAGGGATTCAGAGGTGTTAAATGTGTGATTTTTAATTAATGAACAGAATTACTCAGAGGACAGCACGACTGCCAGGAGGATGTATATCTGCTGTTACACTAAATAATCAGAAGATTGTTTTGTTTTGTTTTGTTTTGTTTTGTTTTGTTTTCAATGAAATTGAATAAAGGAAATTGCACTTTGCAAACTTTAATTGAGAAATGACAGCAGGCTGAGAACAACTGAAAAGCTCTGAGACATGGAAGAGGAAAATAGCAGCTAAAGGGCACGGTGGAGACATGGGATCAGGCAGTATGTGCAAGCACAGCTCTATGCTGCTGACAGATGAGGGAAATAATATAAAGTAAAGCCCCAGCAGAAATCCTGCTGCTTCAATACGGAAGTGCAGCTGCCACATTCTAGGATGTCCCATTTCATCACTGTGAAATCTATCCATATCTCCCCCTATAAAAAGAAATATGCATTTCCTTGTAGATCCCCTTAGTTCCTGTTCAGAAGAAGAGAACACTGATCAGCTGCTGCTCTCACTCATGTGTTGTGCATTCCGCTGGGAAAGAAAATATTGCACCTCCTTTGTGCTGTAATGCTTGACATGCAAATTTGATCTGTGAAGCCTTCCTGCCATTAGGTGACTGGGGTGAACAAGGTCCTACTTACCATGGGTAATTTTATTTCCTAAAAGTATGCCAACAAATATGATCAGAACTGCAATTACGTAGTTCAAAAACCACCAGTAATTACTCCAGAAGAAACAGTACAAACAAGTAGTTAATTACTCAACCAGTTTGGGTTAACAGCACACTCCGTCATCTGTTTCCAGGACATGGGAACACAAACACAATAAACACAAACTTCCAGTGGCTTGATTGGCATCATCTTGAATTAGTTTTGTTCCTTCTTTTTACCACATACACGTATGTGAAAAGCCAACAAGACTAACAAGAAGTGAGGGAGTTGCTCAAAATGCCACCAGTTTCAATTTTCCTCCTGTATTTTGTCTCTCCGTGCCTACTTAACCTTTTTAAATAGAATCACTGAGGTTGGGAAAGACCTTAAGATCATGAAGTCCAATCATCAACTGTTACTAACAAGAACACCACAAAACCACATCACCAACTTCCATTTCAACATATCTTAGGGACAGTAATTTTGCCACTTCCCTGGGCAGACTGTTTCAATGTCTAACCACTCCTTCTGTGAAAAAAATCTTCCAAATGTCCAATCTAATCCTCTCGTGACACAACTTGAGGCTGCTGCCCTGCATCCTGTCACTTGTCATCTGACAGTGGAGACCAACTTTCTCCTTGCTGCAGCCTCCTGTCGGGTAGCTGTAGAGAGCGATGAGATCTCCCTCATTATCTCCAGGCCAAACCACCTTAGGTCCCTCAGCCACTCCTCAGAGATCTTGTTTCTTAGCTCTTTCATCAGTTTTGTTGCTCTTTGCACTTAGGCAAATTACTGTCCTTGTAGTGAATGGTCCCAAAATGAACACAGTGCTCAAGGTGCGGCCTCACCAAGTGCCATGTACAAGTGCCATGTTCCATGATGCTGTTGGCCACACTCTTTCTGATGCAGACCAGGAGGTCATTGGCCTTTTTGGCCACCAGTGTACACTGTTGGCTCATGTTCCGTTGGCTATTGACCAGTAGTACCTCCAGCTCCTATTCTGCAGGGCGATCTTCCAGCCACTCTTCCCCAAGCCTGTATAACTGCATGGGATTGCTGTGGTCCAAGCTGTCCGTTACATGCTATGTGATGGCAGTCATGATGATCTGCTTCATGACCTTTGCTGGCACTGAGGGGATCTCTCTTCAGTTTCTTCTTCCTACATGACTCTTTTTGATAAACTGAACAGGCAAGAATTCCTGTACACTTTCTTCTAGGGGTTTCATGCATTCAGGAGATCGAATATGAACTCTTTCATGACTCCCATCTCTTGTTTTCAGATTTTAATGAGTTCTGTCATGGGAGTTAAAAGTTAACAATTTCAAAGTCTTTATCATCAAGAATTCACTGTCACTGGCATTAATGAAATGATTACATGGCACAACAACTAAAATATATGCTGAAGTATGAAGCTCACCCATTTAACTAGGATTTTTTTTTAACTATCTGACACAAGGACACAAGCCAGCAGTGTGTGTTTGCAGCCAAAAAGGCCAGTCATGGCCTTTTGATGGGCTCCATCAAAAGAGGGGTTGTCAGCAGAGTTAGGGAGGGGATTATCTCCCTCTGTTCTGCCCTTGTGGGGCTCTATCTGGAGTCCTGCATCCAGGCCTGGGGCCCCAGCACAAGATGGATGCAGAGCTGCTGGAGTGGGTCCAGAGGAGGTCACATGGATAATCAGAGGGCTGGAGCATCTCTCCTATGAAGAAAGGTTTTTCAGCTTGGAGAAAAGAAGGCTCTGGGGAGACCTTATTGCTGCCTTCTGGTACTTAAAGGGAGCTCAAAAACAGGTGGAAGACCAACTTTTTGCATGGTCTACATTAAAGAAATGGAATACACACAAGAAGCGCTCAGAATTAAAGTACAGGCTTCAGTGCTACAAGATTTGTAAGCACCTGGAATTCACTGTGCATTAAAACTTCCAGCTCTGACCTTTAAACAATCCAGATTATCCATAAACATGCCTCTCACACATGCATTCACGTCAGGACAACAGGATCTCAGCTCCAGGACTTGCCCCAAACAACCAGCTTAAGCTCACGTACGCTGGACTTCGTCTTCTGCCATCCACCATCACAGTTACTCTCACGTCATGCCTTGAGCTAAGTGCTAACCTAATAGCTTACTGACCCACAACATGGTAGTTGATCGTTGCCTGCAGAATCACCTTCTGTCTTCAGGTCTTAGCATGGAATAAGCTCCAGTGACTGTTTACCTGGATTGGTGTTACAGAGGTTCAGCATACACCGCTGGGGAAAATGTGTTTGCTTTACTGCTGCTGACCTTGGAGAAATGGGCACTACTGTATATTATGTTTTAATGGCTGTTGTTACTATGGATGCAAATGTAAGTCTATTTTTACATTTAATATGGTGTATGCCAGCAAGACCTAGCGGAAGATCCGTGCAAATGTAAACACCTACATGCAGAGTGACCTACTTACAAGTTACATGTGGCCTTGCACGTAGCCATATAAAGTGTTTTCAAAGGCTGCATTCAAAGCCTGCAATTTAAAACAATTTCAGTGCAGCATGTGGCAGACTGAACAGAAATGATGCTTGGTAGTCATTCATCCACATTTTATTTAGTTTTAACATACACAGTTTTTTCTTTTAAATTACAAAGGCTTACATTGTGCCAAGAAATTACTTTTGTATTGATTTCAGTGGGGAATTTTGTTTTAGATTTGATGACGTCGTTGCTGGCCCACATTTTGAGCGGATAACATTTAAAATTCAGTGTAATGATCAAGGATCTCCATCAATTTCCAGACACAGAAAGAATTCAAAGACTTACGTACATTGAATGCATTCTGTTTATTTGAGAAGGAAGATCTCGTATGAGTGCCCAATATGGAAGGCATCTTTTATCATGTACAATAAAATCAACCATTGCTTCCAGCAGAATACAAAAATACACATCTCAGTGACTTCCATACAATAATAAATATGTAATCATGCATCCAACAATAAAAAGGCACGGAAAACTGGTCACTTAGTAGTCATAAAAATTACTAACTATATTAACAAAGCCACCCAAATTATCTGTACAAGGAAATGTAACAATATATTCCAAAGGTGAAAACACATAAAACATCTTTAAAATAGTATATGCAATAAATACCTCAATTGTTTTTATATATTAAAAATAAAACTGTGCCATTGTAAACAGTATGTAAACAAACAAAATTCACTGTTCCTTACCATTATTACAAGTAAATAAAGCCGAAAGTTACACCCCTGCTCTGTTAGATATACTTAATTGGCAAGTTTTGTCAGGCAGTTTAAAGTTTTACTCTTTTCTGCAGCAAACAGAGCCCGCTATGTGTGTAATTGCAGCGCCATAGCAATTGCTAAGCTTCAAAACTGACTACTCAGAATGTAGTAGGTCATCAAATAGTCAGAGCTGAAACCAGAAAAAAAGCAATCTTTGCAGTGTTGTGGACGAAATTATTTATGCTACATAGAACAGCGTCAGTAAAACTTAGCCACTTGTATACCACTGCTCTTCTATAGGCATCCGGGGCTGTACCAAGTGGTGAGCATCCCCCCTCCCACAGGCAGAGAAAGAGAGGCACACAGAGGTAACCCACCTGCCCCAGTCCTCAGCACATGAAGCCAAAAGCAGAACCTGTGGCCCTCGACTGCCCACCCTCCTCATTCCCTCTGATATCCTGTACCCATCACGGCCCTTCTGACAAATAACACTGAGCCCTGAAACCCATTCCTGATTAGAATTACAGAAAGACAAAGAGCATGCAAAAGGAAAGCTGTCAGCTCACTTGAGCACCCACCTGCTCCCACTAATGCCCATGTCAGATTGACATTAGCACAGCAGTGAGCCCAGGCAGAGCCCTGTGCATCCTCCAGGAGCTCACTGCTTGCCACCACTGCTGCTTCTTTTGGAATTTCTATAGCTAACAAACTCCCAGAAAGTTCAACCAGCTTCCTTCCACATTAGCAACAGGATGAGTGTGAATTGAAATATTATCCTTTCTTAAACAAAGATATAGAAAAAGATGCCTGGGAGTGGTGGGTGTTCTGTACAGAGGTCTTCAGAATGAGTCTTACAGGGTAATACGATAAAATATTGATAATGTTGTTGGTAAATACATCATTTTACAAATCCTGCTCTGTCCTTGGGATGACTCCCTATGATGATAGGTAAGAGGAAGTTTTAGAAGGAAATTTTTCACACAGAGGGTGGTGAAGCACTGGAACAGGTTGCCCAAGGAGGCTGTGGATGCCCCATTCCTGGAGGCATTCAAGGCCAGGCTGGATGTGGCTCTGGGCAGCCTGGTCCAGTGGTTGGTGCCCTGCACTCAGCAGGGGGGTTGAAACCAGATGATCATTGTGGTCCTTTTCAACCCAGGCCATTCTATGATTCTGTGATTACCAACTTACCTGTCCTGGACACATATTTTTCAGTGCATGACAGCTCTTGTTTGAAAACAATATTTTTAGCCTTAGACAAAGAAATGAATTTGTGTTTATGCAGCTGTTTCACAGCCTTCCGTCTTTCTACTGGAGGAATAAACTCATAGCATCCACAATTAAAAAATACCCTGTAAAGGGATTTAGGAAGCACTGCATTACAGTAATTTTCCTCCCTGCCACTGCTGAAGAACTGATCCTTCTGTCTCTAAACAAGCCATTTCTCTAATATCAAGCAGTTGTCTGATTTACTCTCCTACTTAATATTTGCATAATTTTATTCACTTGTGAAACATTACAAGAGTCATCCTTCAGACTAGCTCTGAAGTTACCTCCACATCTCAAGAAGTTTAAAGCTGTACAGAATATAAAGGATGTTTTCAGATAAGGAACTTTTGGATAAGGTACTTAAAGTGACTCACTCCAGGTCTACAGAGCCAGGCGAGCTGTAGGAAATCAGTAGGTGTAGAAAAGAGAAGGGACATCTTTCTATTCACCAATAAATATTTCTTCATTTTCGCTTACCACACTACATGCCAACTTTGTAGAGAGGTGTGAAACACGATCTACTTTTAGAAGATTCCGTATTAAATCTTACAAAAGGTCTTTTAGAAGCAATTTTCATAGACATATTCAAGGACCAGAACAATGAAAAAGTCTGTACATTCGATGAGGCATATATTCCCACGTGTTGTATTTCGCAGGTTCTCTAGAAAAATCCAAACAGCAACTGCAAATTTCACATTGGGAAAAATAAATACATTTCACTCATTCCAAAACAAATAATAATAATATCACAGTAGGAAAACAGCCAGTAAACAACGGATTCAGAGGGGTTTAATCTTGGCCGCTGTGAGATCGATGGGAGTTTTGGCAAGGATTTGTACAAAGCCAAAATTTCACCCAGAATCTTGTACAATTCTTCAGCTGACAACAACCATAGACATCCTGCCACACTGCTGTATAAGTTAAATATTAACAAGCGTCTGTAAACATCCTGCCATTCATCTCATATAAAAAATATTATCATAAAAACAATGCAGCATCTCAAGCATTGTATACATTTAAGTTTTTTGGCTCTGCACACAAGCTGGTGTCCTTACATTGGGCAAAACCAGGGTGTATATATATATATATATATATATGTACAAGTGTGCATGCACACACACACACACTACTAACTACATACTGCATATATACAGGCATGCACATACAATACTGGCAAGAGAACAACATTCATAGGTACAGCATTCAGAAATTCATCACTGATCAATCTGAAGACAACTTTCACATGAGGAACAACTTCTACCTACCCAAATCTGGAGGTTTACATATAAATGCTAAAACAAAGAAGGACTAAAGTGCTGTTTGAAGCCAAGCGCGTGCATTAAGTGCCAACAGATCCGTGGCCTTACTCTGCATATTTGCAAAAACAACAAATCTCCTTGTAGAGTGAACGGGACCAAGTGAAAATGAACAGTAGAAGCTACAGAGTGTGCTGGTAGGACCAGATGACCTCCGCTGGTCACTTTCAAGCTAAATCACCCAGTGAGCCTGTGATTGTTTTTTATTTATCTAAAACAGAGCAAATTACGTTGAATATTTTCCCTTCCTCATTGGTATTTCTTTAAAATAGGTGGAAAAGTTGCATTTCAGCTTTTTGCTTCAGAACTTAATTCAAACCCAAACATATGAGTTGTGCATAAGATGACAGTGTTGCATTTCTGAATGCAGTGCATTCTGCACCACTTGCCTGTGTGCTTTATGCAGTCACTCATGCAAATAAGTGAATGCTATTACAGTATTGGCTCACCCCTGTATCATGAATACAAGCTGAATGCTCACTGAAGAGAAAAGCCTGGCTAAAAAGAGCACCTCTCTAACACACTTAGAAGAAATCAGCTACCTTTTCTACATGCCAAAACACACACTGCAAACAAATTCATGCAATTCAGTAGCATTCCTCGTTTAAAGATACCATCTCTGTACATACTAGGGAAACTTTCTATCTTTTCGGAGCAAAGAATAATAACGGATGTATTCTGAAAAAATAACCATCAGTGGAGAGCTATAACTAAGTGCTGACTTAGCTTCTGGATTTTACTGGTGTTTAAGACATTATTTGTTTATTAAGATAGTTGATGTGTATCTAAGTTACAAATCAGGAGGTTTTTTGGGAGGTATAAAGGGTGTGCCATAGATATTCAGCAGCTGCTAGTATAAGATGTCATTAAATTACTTGGGTGTGAGGACAGTGATGAAAAAACATCAAATCTCTGTTGCAAAGATCAGGCTCTCTTCTCCTCCTGCAAGTCCCCAATGGTTTGTACTCTTTATGTACAAACAACATTTGCAGCACATCTAATCTGCTGTGAATCCTGCCCTACGATGAGAAAAAGGCCCTACTGACATACAAACAGCAGCAAATTAAATTACTGGCTATGTGTTTGGCAGCTCTAGGGAAGCCCCTCTTTTAGGATTCAAAGGACAGGATAGAACACAGCGCCTGACGGAGGGAAATATTTCAAGGCAAGTTCGGAAACTGCCCTTTTTCCTGCTTGACAGGAAAAATGGTAATTTTGTCCTAAATGGATGATGGTGTTTTCCTAAGTGCACATTTTAAATACACAGAAATCTAAGTGAGGAAGTAGGTCCACAAGTGACAGATGCCTGTAGAAAATCCAGTCAAGTCTGACTAAGCAGTATAGCGGTCCTTTTCAACCCAGGCCATTCGGTGATTCTATGATTCTAAAAACAATCATTTTAATGTCACTGTTAGGTTATTAATTAATAACTAAACAGTTTTCCAATCTAATTAGTTGTTTCAAAGTAGAACTCCCTGGGTTAATTCCCTTTAAATCTTCACAGTAGGCATTTGGGGCACTGTAGAGGTTTGTATTTATTAACAAAAAAAAATAAAAAATCAAATGGCTTAGCACTTTGTATCATACTGCTTTTCCTTTCATTATCTTTTCAAATGCAGCTTTCGGTGGAGATTGCAAGTGTGTAACTTGGAGGATTTTAGGCCCCATGGGTTCAAAATCTGATCCAGGTGCTTATATAAAAAACGTGGTGTCAATTGGGAGAGAAGTTTTTTGATTATTTGCAATAGATTTTTATCAGTAAAGCACATAAATATACACATTTTCTGCTGATTGCTCTGAAGGTGGAAGCTCTTTAACCACTGCAGCTTAATTGATTGCAATTTGACCAAGAATAGTCTCAGGACTATAGCTGCCAGAATTTTGCTGGTTTGCCAATGTCTTAATAGTGCTAATATTTTATTATTATTATTATTATTATTATTAGTGATAATAAAGGATGATATGTCCCTGTTCACTGCAGGAGAGTTGGGCTAACTGATCTTCAAAGGTCCCCTCCATCTCAAATAATTTTATGAGTCCACGATTCTATGATAGAATTTTAAGTTTAGTTCCAAAGACTTCAAAAATGCAACTTTCAAAAACATTCCCTTTGCTTATGAACTTGAGGGCAAACACATTAAGCCTAGGAAAGTCACAATAAACATTGGTATTAGCTCTAAATGGTTGTAAGCCTCCTGGAACTCTCCAGATGGCTTCCAAATGGAATACTTTGGACTGCTTTGTGAGAGCAGTCTGGGCTTCTGTGTGGCAGAAATGAGCATCTCAAGTACATAAGCTACCCATTAACAGAGCTTTTTAACCTAATGCAACAGTAGTAAGAAGTAGAAATTGTTTTCTCCTTTTGTAAAAAAGATTGAGTTGCACACTATGTTCTCAATATAAATAAAGGACTTTATGTAACCAGTGAAGTTTTTCAGCTGATAATTACCACTCTATGCTCTATCAATCCTGCTGACACTACCATTCTACCATTCAAGAGGCAGCAGGAAGAGTTTAAGTCTTGTCCAAACTCCTCGGTTTCCTAAGGTGATCAAAAACTCCTTTTGCTTAAGACAAACATACAATCATGTACAGTTCCTGCAAACGTTAGATCTTAGTAGTGAGCATAAGCAGCATCACAATTGATGATATGAAAATCATACCACAAAACACAGAATCTAAGAAAACAACCAAAAAATGGGAGAGCCCGTGGCACGAATGTGACACTCAGAGCAATGCAGTTGAGAGGTACATTGGGGTGAAAAAATAAAAGAAAAACTTCATACAGTTTGCTGTGGCTCTCACTTACACAAGTGACAGATGATCTCCTAGTTGTAAGCAGAATATATTCCTCCAGCACTGTTTTCCTCAACAACATGCATTGCTTGTAACATTAACTTTCACAAACAGACTTTACACTGCTAATTATTAGTTACTAGAACTGTCAAACTTGTATGCAATAAATTAATACTCAGGGGCATGGGGAGAGCAAAGGAAAAAGAGCACTAAACATTAGTAATGCAATCATTAATAGCAAACATTGAGCAAAATGGAATCACTGGGGTCTGGAGGTTTTTTTCTTACATATCCACTGTGGAATTATCTATGCCTAATATAGAGTTCTAAACTTATTTTAAAGGCAACGTTGCTGCATTTCATCTCCTATTTGTTTTATACTTTACTTTTATATTATGTGTGGAAAGGTTCCAGTCTTCTACAAAAGAAAACTAGATGCAATAAGAAATATGGATTATTTAACCCCATAGTAAGATGCATTATCAAGGCATTATGACTTTTTCATTAAGTGAATTAGTATCAGTGAGTTCAATTAAAGAGTAAAAACTGGCAGGTTTTGTATTACCATACAAAGAGCACAGGAAAATACAAAATATGCCATAATAAAAAAGAAAAATCAATTCCTCTTGCCTGAATTACAATTATACATTTCAGTCTGAATTTCTTTGGGCAGGGATGGAGAAAGAAGGATGTGTTCTATTTATTATTTAGAGGACCCAAAGGTATTTACTCCAGTCCCAAAGTAAGGAATCCTTAGGAATAGTCGTGGAGGGTTTTTGAACACCTGCTTTCCATTCTGTTCTTCCATAAGTTTAATATATTTTTCGTTGACAGAAGCTGGTGTTTGGGAGAAAAAATGTTGTTTAAGGGCAAATACATAAAAATATATCATGAATAAAATTTTCAATTGCCATCTTATAAAAAAAAATTTGCACAAGCTTTTCTTTAAAGTACCGTAAAACAAAAATAAACACCAAAAACCTAGAAACACACAGTTGGCTGATGTGATCCAGTTTCTAAAAAAAAGGCATTATGTACTACAAGGCAATATTTGTATCACCCAAATAAGAAGCTGCTAAGACACCTGAATGCAATTAGATGGAAAAAACTATAGGAAAATGATGAAAAACAAAAGCACTCTGAGCAATGCGCTGCCATTTTACAACTTGCTTCTCCTCTTCTTTTTGAAGTGGAGCACATTCATCTACATGAAACTAAATGATCATTGTGGTCCTTTTCAGCCTAGGCCATTCTATGGTTCTATGAATACCATCCACTTCAAAAAAATGCTGATTGCTTGGCATTGCTTTCATAGATTTTAAGGTACACTGACAGACAGTAGAGTTGTGTTAGACTACAGAAAAAAATGAATCCAGTGAGTACTGGATAGTGATTTTTGTCTTGAATCTAGCAAGTTGAATTAGCCTCCACAAAAGCTACTGGGATAACTAGTTTTCCAGAAAATTAACTACTTCAAGGGAAGTTGCTTACCTTCTTTGGAAGGCTTTGAGGAGACCTCATTGTGGCCTTCCAGTACTTGAAGGGAGTTTATGAACAGGAGGGGGAACGACTGTTTACAAGGATCGATAGAGAAAGGACAAGGAGGAATGGTTTTAAACTGAGACAGAGGAAGTTTAGGTTAGATATTAGGAGGAAGTTTTTCACACAGGGGGTGGTGACGCACTGGAACAGGTTGCCCAAGGAGGCTGTGGATGCCCCATCCCTGGAGGCATTCAAGGCCAGGCTGGATGTGGCTCTGGGCAGCCTGGTCTGCTGGTTGGCGACCCTGCACATAGCAGGGGGTTGAAACGAGATGATCACAGAATCATAGAATGGCCTGGGTTGAAAAGGCTCTCAAAGATCACCTCGTTTCAATCCCCCTCCCACAGACAGGGTTGCCAACCACTAGACCAGGCTGCCCAGAGCCACATCTTTATGGTCCTTTTCAACCCAGGCCGTTCTATGATTCTATGATGATTCTATGAAATGTTAGAAAGTATGCTTTGAAATGCCTTAAGCATCGAGATTAAATTATAAAGAATTCTGTATGTTAAAAATGAAACTGTGTGTGTCCTCAGTTCTGGGAGCTGGGACTTTGAGAGCAGTAGGGAAAAAAAACATACTTGTAAATCTACAATAATCACGAGATAGTAACATTGCATTCGAAAATCAATCTTGACAAAAGCCACATCTCATAACACAGATACAAAACACGACCTCAACAGAGAAATCCTGTAAGATATTTTGAGCCTCCTTGTCCAACGCATTTGGAACTGATATTCAAAACTATTCTAAGGCATAGAGTTGCATGAAACGTGCTCTCTTGAACGTCTATTATATAAAACATAACTGTTGCCTAAACTACTTTTTCTACTTGCACTTTTTTAAAAAACCCTCTGCTTTAGGACAATCAAAATTGAATTCTTTGGTGATCATTTAAAATAATGGAACTTCGTAAAGACAAGTTGTCCTACACTGAGGTAATTTGAAGAGTGTCATAAGAAAGCTGCATTCCAAAACAACACTTTGTCATTCTTCCTGCCTAAAAGCATCTCCTTTTTTTTTTTTTAATACTGTGTAGGCCTTTATAGCTGTCATCACATGGCCTTAACTCAATCCTGTTCCAGAGCCCATCTTACTGCAGTGCAGATAGCAAGACTGAAAGCTATGGGGAGAGTGAATCAGGAAAGCAAAGAAAATAATATCATGAATTATATCCTCAACTTGACCAGGTGGACTAACTACATCATCAACCACAACACTGACACATCAGAATTGCGCCACACATTAAAATATAGCTTAGCTTACAAGGAAACAAAGAGAAAAGGACACGTAACTTGTGAAGACTCGGCAGATGACATTTGGTCATCATTAAAGGGGTCAACGTCAAGTACACGAAAGAAAAAACCTTTCCATTGTTTGCATATGCTTTTAATACAACAGCATGAAAATAATGTCACTTGGTGAATGGCTTTTGTTTCTTTCTGAACCAAAAAACTAATGGAGCATTGCCTTTTACTTTTGTTTGTTGACCAGAACAATGAATTATGTCCACAAAGCTCCCAGAGCGGTGACGGTTTAAGCTACAGCAGCAAGAACGTGCAGTACTATAAATGGATATAAACAAAGCTTGCCTTCCTCCTTTTTAACTTTACTTGCAATAGAACAATGAGGGGAGCACATCTGACTTCCCAAGGGATGAATCTCGCCAACCTCCTGAGAAATGGAGGACAAAATCTGGCTGTGGTACTTGGCGTTGTCCCCTTTAAGTAAGGAAAAGCTTTCGGCAAAACAAATGAAACCTTATTCTGCTGTCTACTAGGAAAACAGAAATAGATATTAACATGGTTGTTAACTTGTAAGAATTGACAAAGATACTCAATAAAGCATAAATCAAGAGTTCCTGGGGTGGGAAAGCTGCACTGATCAGAACAGCAAGACAAGCAGTTCTGTGCAAGTTCTCTGGCGTGTGATGCAGTATCATCTCATCTCAGCCACTGAAGCAGGTTCTGTGTGTCTTAACCCCTAGATATTATGTATGTTATTTTTCTACTAGATTAATACTTTGTGAGAAATTAACCAGAAATTCAATTATGAAGCTATGTTTTGTTTAAGTAAATTGTAAATAGCCTTATAAACTCTAGTCTAATGCAATTACTAAACAAAGATGGCTTTCATTTTTAACCTTATAACACTCACAGATTACTAGTTTGCATGTGAATCGTATTTGCATGCATAGTGTAAAACTTCAGATTCTCTTAATTTTTTTATGATCTACTGATGTAGGAGTGCTGACAAATAAATTGATGCCTCTGTAAAGAAATGCATACAGACAATTTTTTAAATTAATAGTATATTAGTAATGAGTATAAGCTGACCCCACAAAAATCAAATCAGCTGCTACATTTTAACACTTTCCTTATTTATGCGTGATAAATAAATCGAATTTTCCTGTAAGAAATTTTCGTTAATCTTTCAACCTGCTTTTTGCACAGCAGAATAAATAAAACCATTAGTTCCTAAAAGCTCCGATATGCTACGGATGTTTAAGATAACTGGATAACTACATTTAATGCACCATGAGAAAATTCCTTATCATTTTCCATGCAGGAAGCCAACTGATATTTTTGTGAGGTACTGATCTTTCAAAAATACTCATAAGTTAGTTACCTGATACACCTTCTGTACATGGTATATTTAAAAATCTAACTGTACAACGTCCCAATCATATATAATGCATACAACTTGCTGAATATGGCACAAATGCTCAAGTTTCCACACCCACACATCCTTTGCCATAGAACTCATTTAGGAATAACACAACACTGAAGAATAGAAAAGTGCCTGGAACCGAAAAAGGACACTCAAGTAGTAATAAATTAATTCTCATTCAAACCGATATAAAAGTTGTTCAAGTGTTTAAAGTATCAGATATGTCATGCAAACGGAATGACAGACAAGTCAGGCAGGCACACCATGCATTATAGTTGGCATTCAGAGTACAAGAAGGTATCTTTCCCCATCCTGCGTGGCCCGTGAGCGCCTGGTACCTGAGGCATTGCCAGACCCGCGTGTGGAACCTCGGAAGCGGCCACCTCTCAGGCTCCTGCACAGGAAGCTGTAGGGGATCTGTGCCCAGGAAGGGCAACCAGACAACCTCGTGCTGTACGGCGGCATCTTGCTGCGTTGTAAGAGAGAGGCATACTGAGCTGCATGTAAGCAAAGCGATCGTTTCTTGATATATTTTCCAGTCAGTGCAGTTCACCATCAACTGATTTACCAAAATGTGCTTATCTGAACTGGCCAAGTGTGAACACCGAGAAAACTCCTTCACAGAACACATAACCATTTCTTTTTTTTTTTTTTTTTTTCTTTTGGCACAAATTCTCTTATGCTCTTGCAACAAGCTCTTCGCCACACAAGTACTGGGCAATGCTAGCCTGTACGAACACGCTAGCGCTTATTCTTCCATACAATAAACTACAAAGACAGCCAAGTGCCTGCAACGGCTTCGCTTCTCCAGCAATGTTCCCTTTCTTCCGAGAGCACCAGCACAATTACACTTCAAACAAAGGGGTGTTCTTGCTGAGCTCCTTAATTCCCTGGAGAATTCGCTTCATATGACCCACTTTCGTTATCCCCAGGTCCTACAGAAATCAAGAAAAAAAGGGAGAGAAAAAGAAGAAAAGTCATTTACTTTTTTTTTCTTGTTTTTAAAGGCCATGATTATTATCTAACCGTGCAAAAGATGTCTAGAAATGCGCTAACTGCAATCAACATTAACTTGAAAATAATCTATGGCTCTAGCAAATGTCACCTAAAAAAATGCTTACAGCACACAGTGTATCTCTGTTCGAAAATTACTTACCTGCAATAACCATATAACCGAAAGTATTACAGTCTTTCAAAAACATCTTTTGCTTGACTTTTAAGTACAAGTCTCTTCGTAATTTCTAGAAAAATGAACAATCTCCCCCTCCTCTCTAATGCAGTAATCAAATGCTTGGTAGGATGAGATGGATTAGAGCTTCTGTCCAGCTCTGTTACTTGATCTGTGGGCCTATGATGTCTGTCTGAAGCAAGTAGCACACACATCCCCAGTTTCTCAAGTGAAGGTGGATGTAATGACATGTAGGACAACTTCCCTTCAGAGAGCAATAGAAAAGGTAAGCATTTGTTTTTCATTCTAAAATGGTTCAGCCTCCTAACGTGGACTGCCTTGATGATTAGAGAGCTGGAAAAAATTTTCTCATAGACATGATTGTCACATCCCAAAGGAAATGGTAAAAACACAAATGCAGATCTCTTTCAGGCACCACTCACACAAACATATCAGTTGAAGTATTTCTAATATCAGTTTCTTGGACCCATCTTTGCCTAAGTGACAACAGGCAAGAAATTCTTGCAGCAAAACTCTTCCAGCATTAGTAACAGCTTAGAGAACATTCTTCTCCTATTTTTACTTGGTCCGATAGTCAGAGAAACAGAACAGAATGCCCAGCTGTGTTAATGATCCCCAACTGCACTAATGAATTTTCATCTGATGTTGGTGAAAACCTGCTTCTGTTGTCTGTCAAACCCAGCCTTGAAAAACTCTTTAAAATCCTTGTGTTGGTCATGTTGAGCTAGTGGTGAATTCAAACAGTATAGTAATTTGTAGAATAAACCTTACCTAAACAGACCATGATTAAAGAAAAGTCTGAACAAATTTCTCTACCTATCCCTCTGAAATAAAAATCCTTTCATTTTAGTAGGAGACTTTTCCATTATGAAGACATAAAAAGGAATGGAGTTGAATTAATGGCTTGAAATAATTGTTTTCATACAGAATAAAAGATGAAACTATATGGAACGTTCTTTGAAAAGCTTACATAAAGGCTGCATCTACCCTTCTACAGTCACAGAAACCTCAGAAAACCTGCAGTGCACATTATTTAAAAGTGTGCAATTCACTTTGCATTTGCATTTCATCAAAGCAAGAAAAGGTTGGCATGAATTAATTATTTTGGGGTAAAAGCATAGATTAAACAGGCGCATTAATTTTCAGAGTCAAGGCTGAACTCTTGTTATGTTAGAGATAAAAAAAAAACCTGGTTGTTATTTCAGAAGAAAAGTGTAAATAACTTCAATACACCAACATTTGTTACAGCACTTTGGCACAAAGGTGTCAATATTAAAGAGTTCACAATGTGCTCGAGTCCCCAAACCAAGTGCTGTTCATAAAGCTATCAGAAAAAAAATACTTGATTTTTCCATATTGCATTTATATTTTGTTTCCACTAATGCATATTCACATCAGTTTGTGGAGAAAAATAAAATAAACAGTTAACTATAAAGTAGCACTGATTTTTAAGCTAAGAGAGCTGGCAAACTTGTTAAACTCATCCAACAATGACATTAACCTTTTTCATCATGAATTTGGTGCTGGAGAATGTTTTCTTATTTATGCTAAATTTAATTTTCCAAAGACTCAAAAGCATGCAAGAGCATTGAAACTACTGAAATTCCCCTGCTGCTCTGTGGCAGAAATTCCATCCAATTTAAAACCTGTAGGACACATTCCAAACTGCAAGAAGCCACATATACGTAAGTTTAAGAACTTCCAAATCTTTCAGAACAGTTCTCATAAGTAGAACTATTGGATAAGCAACATTGCAACATATTGTCAGACTTCAAAGATCAGAAAAAAGATCTGATAGTATAAAATTCCCAGAAAACCAAGCCACTTTTTCCACCAGCCTTCACAAAGTGTCATCAACAATGCCTATGCTATAGTGAGTAGAGATTTTAGTTTTGTTTCTGTCTTAGTTGAACGTGCTATAATGTAGATGAGACCAGCAAATCTCAAAAGATTTACCACAATTTATGCTAAATTATGTCACAAAAAAAAAAAAAAAAAAAAAAAAAAACCCACAACCAAACCAAACCCCCCAATCTCTGAATTTCCATGTCTGTGTAATAGACTGGTTTGAAGGAAATTAGGAGTTACATATTCTTGACACTAGAAGCTATCTCAGTTTACTACTGATCTGGGGAAGTCTGCAGAAATTCTCTTATCTCAGGCTAGAAAGGTCTGCTACAAAAGCCTTCCATGCATCTCCCAAAAAATGATCTCCAAGGATATCTTGCCAGAGTATGAGAAAGAAAACAGCCTGTTTTTTGTTTATTTTTTTTTCCTAGCTATGGCCTTAAAACTAAGGGATAACCTCTCCATATGCTCTCCCAACCCAATTTGACCGTCTCGATTGTCTTCAGCAGGGAAAGATCAAAATATCTTCAAAAACAAAAAACAAAAAAACCAACAAAACAAAACAAAACCACAAAAACGTTGGGAAAGAAAAAGGTGATAAAAACTATTGCAACATCTTGATGGAGTTTTTCATCTGCATTACATAATAGTGATTAGCCCTCTGTCTGCTTAGCCAACAACCGTTTATTCCAGGTTTGCCCCACAGATGTTGCTGGTAGAACATACCACCAGTGTAGAGCTACCAAGCATTTTATATAAGTAGGGCTTACTATTGACATCTTCTAGATTAGAACCTACCCTAGTGGCACAATCAGTGTCAAAGGACATCACAAGTTCCTACAGTCTAGTAAATCTTACCATTTTCCATGCAAGAACTTCTCTTTAAAGTGATACTATAAAAGACATAGATGAGATTTCCCAGTCCTCAGCATACTCTTAGCCTTCCACTCCTCATTAAACTGACAAAAGACATGGAAAACCTTAATGGAAGACAACACTGCTGTAGAGTTCTAAGGAAACATCACCCTAGTCCAAGCAAATGTGTTGCAGTTCTGATTATTACTAAGTTGTACATATAGAGACAAGCTGTCAATGTTAAGAATGACAACATCTACTTTAGAGTCTAGTTTCCAATGAATTTAATCATGAAAGAAGGCTAAAAATAATCACAATGAGCCTCTTGCTGTATTTTCTACAGCACATTTCACAATTTCCAGGCCTTCTTCAATGGAAAGAAAATCAAATATTGCAAAAGTCTAAGCTTGCCCTAACTAAAATCATGAATACGAGACTAGAGAAAGGGTATTATTGGAGGGAATAGATGGACAGAGGTATCCAGTTCCTCGTTTTCAAACATTTGCTATCTGCCACACATACAGTAACTTGGAATAGGTCCACAAGCTATGCAGGAATATGAAGACAGACATCCTACCCAATTCTTCAGCTAAAGTATCGATCTATTTCAGTGACACTTGCAAAGGAAGAGAGTTTCATCAACTCCTTTTCCTTACTGCTTTTCATTTCTACTTCTGACACAGATAGAAAGGTGAGCCCAAGGGATTGAATTAATATGAGCAGCTATTTTTCCTGTCATAGACCTGAAAGGTCACTGGGGTAAATGCTGCACTTGGATTGAGAGACTGTCAATCGATGACTATGCCAATTAATCTGGCAAGAAAGCACAAGCCTTGCACTGGAGGAGAGGCTGTAGGTAGAGTATTGCTCACAGAAGCACTGAAGACTCATCTGCACATCTCAATAAAAAAATGGAGAAAAATTTTGCAGGGCAGCTGGTGACCTCTTGAGCTCTTGTTCTACATACCACATTCTACCTTGATGCTAGTCCAGGTCACTGGTCAGAAAAACGCAGGACTCCTGAGCAACCCTTAATTATCTACCTGCAGAGATCAGGATCCAGATGTAATGAGCAGGATGAGTGCTATATTCTGTTATTTAAGTTCAGTTGAGCTTAACATTGGTCTTAACCACCATCTTTGGCAGTTGAACTTGATTATCTTAACTTGATTACCAACTGAACTATTCTATTTGTTTCATTTCAACAAACTTGATATTGTATTTTTATAAACATTCCTTAACATTTTAGCAGAATTTTGCATTGTATGATGCTAAATTTCCCAGTTAAACTTTAAGTGTAATATCCATCACTGGAGCATTACAGTTGCTTGCCTGGAGGGACTGCCATGCAGTATTCTGCATTAAGGGGTTATCTTGTACAATCCTGAAAGAAAGGAATTTAGCTTCCACAGAAAGAAGCTTATGTGATCTAGAACCAACAGGAGAAATAATATGCAACAACTAAACACATATCAGACACATCAGCAGCTGCATTCTACTGCAACTCTCACAGAATGCAAGCACTACCTTATAGTGTCAGGACTGCCAACTATGTAAGAAACTTTACAAAAAATGGCTAATCTGCCTGAAGGTATTGCCCACATCTGGAGACTACAGCACTGTGCCTAGAAGGATGACCTGCACTCTAAATGTAAATGTTTGCCATTTATACAGTATCCTATTTCCTCTCTGATATGCTAAAAGCAGTTGCAAAACACATTATCAAGAACTCATTACCACTGAGTTCCAGGAAAAACTAATGTAATGAATCCCCAAAGATATGGCCACTATTACATACAATGGATGCACTTAAATCACTCTTGAAAAAGACCAGCAGGCTCAAATAACCATCTCAGATTGCTAGGTAATATTTCTCTCTGCTAAACTCTGAGGCAATCAGAAAGACAAAAGAAAACATTCTTTTTTAAATCTATATAGCTAAAAGCAGGAAGAGGTTGGTTGGGAATGAGAAATGCTACTGTGAAAGTCAACTGTGATGCACAAATGCCAATGTCATGTACGTCCAATGCCATCATTTATTAATTTACTTTATCCAGTTTATGCACAACAAACCACTTGAAGCAGGTCAGCTGCTTGCAGCTGCTGACCTTGCAGGAGATATATTCAAAATCATCACACCAGCTTAAGAAACTGATCCATACTGATCCTGATTAGTGGAAACAGTGATCTCTTGAAGATAACTTTGTATTACACTGATGTCAGTAAGATATCAACACGCTTTTCCTGTGACATAAATTATAATGCTGTCATTCTACATAAGGTGTAAAAAGGAAATCTCTCATAACACAGGTATTTCTGGTTACAAATTACAACTCAGCACTAAGAAATTCAGGCCAAAGGACAGCGCATATTAGTTTATTGCATATTTGCACAGTGTAAGCCAAGCTAAAAGCATATAAAAAGTGCAGGGAAAGAAGAAAAGTTGGTTGTCGTTTTGTCAAAGAAAATGGTCAATAGCAGAAAAGTAGCACAAAGGAAATACCTTAAGATCTCGCCTTTCCAGATGTAAAAGCTCAGAGCCTCGGATGTCATGGCTGATGAAGATTTCTTTGTACTCTCCCAAACTGAGCAGATCCAGCCAAGCAGCAACTTCATCTGTGCCCCATTTTTGAACTACCAAAGTTAAGAGCAAAACCCCCTTAATTTCTACATGCTCAAATGCATTACAAGCAAAGGTTAGGCCAAAGAGAATGGAAAACAGAGTAGAATTGCCGTGCTAGCGAAGGGAAAGGTTAGAAGTGTCATTTCCAGAAAAAAAAACGACAATTTCCTTTTTACATGCAGGTTACAGGTTAGCAGTTAACATGAGAAAGTATCTAAACAAAGTTGGGGCTCTTTGCTTTGCAGCCATGCTTTCAGCTTTACTACAGTTTCTTCAGTAAAGCCTTTAAAACCTCATGTCTCCACAAATTCACATCAAACCATCTTAGGATCAGTGACGCAAAATCTAATGTCGTTCTTCTTTATGCCATTAATGTATTAGTTATCATCCAGGGAGAGGAGAAAGCCTTCAAAAGCTAATCAACAGATAAAATTAATACATAAAACATACTTCATATATAGCAATGGCAGCAAGCAAGTTCAGTTTTAATTAACACTTTATAGTACTAATTAATGCTACAAGTATTCTTTAAGCTACTGTGTTACACAGGCCACGAATAAGCTCTCTGTATAACATTGTTCTCTAAGGTTAGTTGCCCACATTAGTCCTAAAAAACAGCTATGCTACTTATTGGTAAAATTTTGCCACATCATCCAATGCTGATTTAGTTTTGCAGAGAAATGAATCTGAAGTCTAATCTGAAATCTAGAAGACTAATCAACAATGGTAAAATTTTGCAAATTTTGCAGATTGTCCATTAAAAACACAAAGATGTAGAAACAATTGTAGGATCATTTGATCACTGATTAACTCCTGGACATAATATTAAAGAATTAAGTTCATGGATAACAGAGGAAAGAGAGGAGAGTGGAGTTTGTTCAGCTTCCACTAATTAAAAGATCAATATTGGCTATCATGGCTTTTTGTTTGACTTGCCCAACTTACTGAACTCAAATTCATCTGAAATTTAAGAATAACTGGTTAATTAAACCAGTGTGATAAAGGCATCACACAGCTCCTGAAATTTACCTGAAAAACCTGAATTGAAGCTTCATGGGGAAATGATGTGTTTATGTATGGCTTGTATTACTTTTAGTTAATCAACCGTAACCATCAGTGAAGACACAGGTCCTGTTTCATGACAAAAATAGCTGCTATCTAAATATTTGTGCAATAGTTCTTTGGCTCATCTGAAAGTCTTAGGATGCTACTGAATGCTTTCTAAACTCACTGAAGGAAATCTTCATCCTAATGAAAATAGAAGTTAGTTCAGCTGCCTTTTAATTTATCAGGGTCAAGAGTTTTCAGTTTGATGGAGTACAGCATTTCAATTTTTACCAAAAAAAAGGAAGAAAATAGCCCACCTAAACACAAAATTACATATTGCTCAAATGCAACTATTTTTGTTGTAATTTCAGAACACATACCAGGCTGAGGGCTGGTCTTATGCTTCTGAACTTTTTCTTTTTTAAACTTTGGCACTATGCGAAACACTGTACTTCTGTTGTTTCTTTTAGCATAATCCAGAGGGGGATCCTACATGAAAGAATAGACATAGTTACTTTTAATTAACTTTTAACTTTAAATTAAATAGCATACTTGAGAAAGTAATTCATAGTTAATCTCAAAAACTAAGACAAAATTTTACTTCTGTAAAGCATTATATCAGGATTTATTTCCATACCCGTTTCATTTCCAAAATAACCATTCAAAACATTTTCAAGGAGGGAGAGAAATATGTAATAAAAATATGCCCTATGCTTAGAAACTTGCTCACAGCAGACAGCATCATTACTGAAACTACATCTCTAGATTATGAGGAGTCTAATCTGCTCTTTCCTCTTGACAGAAAAATAATTCCAATTAGAAACAGGAAGTATTAATCAAACTCACCTCATCATCATTTGGCTGAAAAACATAATAAAGCCAAGGTATCTCAGCAAGTTTTCTCAACTCTGTTTCCACGCTGTGCAAAGCATCAGACAACAGCTCTTCATGGGGAGCTTCCAACTGCTGTTTATAAGCAGGCCAGAAAAACAGTACTTTTAGTTTTGTTAATATATGACATTTAAAGCTAGGTATGTTGTTACTACACACAAACCAATGCAAATAAACAGTGAAATAAAAGTCTTCGTACGAAAAGGGCTGTAGAAAAATTGAGTACATGGTAGTAGGCCCAAGTTATTATTTGCAAAATATGATGGATCACTTTGTCACAGATAAGAGGAAATGGACAGCATCACACAATCTGGGTCGAAAAGGACCACAATGATCATCTAATTTCAACCTCCCGCTATGTGCAGGGTCACCAACCTCCAGACCAGGCTGCCCAGAGCCACATCCAGCCTGGCCTTGAATGCCTCTAGGGATGGGGCATCCACAGCCTCCTTGGGCAACCTGTTCCAGTGTGTACCACCCTCTGAGTGATCTTGTGCCTTAGCTACGACACTCCATCTCTGAAGAGGTGATAAAGATCTATCTGCACTATGCCTTCTTAACCCGTGACAGAGTGACAGCCACTGCTGCTGGCTGAGGGTGGCAGGAGAAGGTATCACACACGGAAAAGGGACAGGACTGCAGCCCCAGAGGGGAGACAAAAAGCCAAAGTTATCAGTAAAAAACCAAAGAGGAAAAGTAGTGACAGTGTGAAAAGCTTGGGACTTCCTGGCCTACAGGAATTTGGCTCTATCAACAAACACTTTGAGAACCTCACACTCATCCAAAAGCTGCGTTCTTCAGCTGTTGCATGAGTCAAACCTGTGAGGAAGAGGTAAGGCAAACAGCTCATCCACGTCAAAGCTGCTCCAGGCTTATATGGTGTTGGCAAAGCACCATTATGAGGAAAGGAAATGAATCCTGAATCACCCGGAATCACTAATAAAGCAATCTGAACACCAGTTTTTCACTTTGAAGTAAAAGCAGGCCCAAAGCAGTTCAAAATATCCTTTTGAAAAGGGCAGTGATGTTACATACAGGTTGATGTATTTTTCAAAAGTGATATATAAGAGAATCTTCAATCTCCAGCTCTGGAAAAACATTTTGACTTTTTAGGAGTTCAGTGATAAATTAGCAGTCTGCATTCATTTATCTTACCTAACAGAAACTTCTTTCCTTTGCTTCAGTAGTTGGCACATATTACACTTTTCAGAGTAGGGACTACAAAGGTATTGCCATTTAGTATAGCTATATTGGAAATATCAGCCCCATCCTGCTGTGGTGTTTTTTTCTCTTCTAAGGCTAACAGAATTTAGGGAAAGAATTCAGTGCTCATAAACAGACTCTGATCTTTATTTAACCTTCCATTTCTTCAAATTGAACAGTCTTTTATCTTTATACAAATCAATGAAGCAAGCATTTCTTTCTCACTTATCTAATTGCTTGATTTTCAAAGCAAAATATTTTGCTTGAGGACAAAAAACTCTCATCTGATGGTAAGAACGTGTATGCATTACAATTGCTGCTCCTGAAAAATAAAACCAATAGAAACATATAGCACACTTCTGGCAAAAGCTAGCAAATCAGCAAATTTAGGGTAAATTCTCCTCTTACAACACCTAGAAAAAGATTTTTATATCTAAGATAAAATTTAACACTACAAATGAAGCATTTAAAATAATGGATTTTTTAATTTTATAGCCAAACAAAATTTCTCATATGAAAATATTTTATTTCAGTGAGCTCAGATTATTTCACTCAGTTGAAATGAAGCATATTGCCATCCTTCTCCCTCAGTATATGGGAAAATCGTGCTCTGTTTCAGATTGGAAATGTTTTTGTAAAAAGTAAAAATTGAAATGGTGTGTTTGGAAAATATCTAGAAAATCATAATAACATTTTACATTTTTTCCAAGCTGTATTCCAGCCATAATATCTGGGATATTCCACAAATTTTTTCTAGCTAATTCACTATTCAGTGTTACCTAGCTAATACCATGCAATTTATTAATCTTATAGAAGGTGAAAGACTGTATATGTATTTACATTTCTCTTCAGAAGCCATAATGGAAAGACTTGGAGCTGGTAAATGGCAACCAAAGAAAAAAATTATCAAGTATATAAGTAACAAACGCACCAATTTACAGCTAGAGAGGGGAATGAGGGAAAATTGAAGAGGCATAAAATTAAAAAAGAAGAAAATTACAGAAACAATGTTTGCCACAGGAGAAAGACTGGAGAACTGTGTATGAAGGTAGCAGCTGACACTTCAAGAAAACACCCTACATTTCATATATCTCTGATTTAATAGTGTGATTTAATAGTTTAAAGTAGCCTCAGCAATTATAAAATAATGCCAATAAGGCTACAAGAATGCCTTGATATTGTGGACTGTGGGTACTATTCTAACTATAAATGCTGTCAAATGAGTGCAACAGACATCTCAGGAAAACAACTTCCAAGCAATTTTTTATTACAAAAATATCTTTGACCCACGAAGACATATGCACAGACCACAATGAGAAGCAGAACTACAGTATGTAAAAACAGTAGATGGATAAATCAATTAAATTAAATTTTAGAGCCTGTACATAGGACAGCTCAACATGTTGAGAAGTAATGTTTCAACTGAAAACTTTCCATAGTAATGCTATTTCTAGACTACCTCGGCAAGTTACTTAGTCTTAGTGTTGCAATACCAACTTATAACTTTTTATCTAATTCCTCTTCTCAAACCGCTTTAAAAACTAAAAACTTTTCTCTATTGATTCCTCATTCAATCTGAAATGGGGGATTAATATTAACAACCTAACAAAACAAAAAACTAACAAACAAAAAAACCCACAATAGATACACTTAAATTTCCTTGGACAAAACCAATTAATTAATTTTTTTTCCCTTCTAAAACTTCATAAAATAGATCATATGAGCCCAGTCTTTATAACCTGAGATGCACACTCAGATCATTACTCTCTCGAAGGACAAGAGACCTTGCAGAGGGATCTAGATAGATTGGAGCATTGGGAAATCATTGATGGCATGAAACTCAATAAAGGAAAATGAAGGGTTCAAGACCTGAAATGGCTTAATGCTGGACAACAGGCTGGAGAGAAGTTCAGCAGAAAGGAACTCAGTGTGTTGGTGACAGCAGGCTCAGTATGAGCCAGTAATGTGCCCTGGCAGCTAAAAGAGCAAACTGCCCTTTGGGATGCCTTAAAAACAACATCGCAAGAAAGTCGAGGAAGGAGATTTTTTCACTGCGTTTAGTACTGGTGCAGTCTCACCTTGAATCCTGTGTACAGTTCTGGGCCCAACAATATAAAAAGGATATAAATTGAATGTTTCTAGAGAAGGGCAACATATCTGGTAAAAAGGTGGTTAGGTAGTTGAACTTAATGGTCTTTGTAGGAACCTTCAAACTGAACTGTTCTGTTCTATTCTACTTATTCTACTCCATTCCATTCTTAGAACTTAAGTGTTTACTGTAGAACAGACTTATACCATTTTCACTTGTAAAAAGGTATCTGAACCTGCCCCAATAAGTTTCATAGTCTACTTGAGTCCAATTTAAACATTCCTTTTAACTAATAAACTCAACAGTAAGTTAAATACATTTGTTTCTGAATCCAAAGAAAATATAACTTTTACTATTGAGTATATTGATACTCTAAAACTGGACCAGCATAGAAAACCCGACCCCTTTTTTTCTTTTCATAATGTCAGATAAAGGTATTTTCTAATTATACATGCAGGTACAACAATTCCTAAGCAGCCTTCATCATTGTAAGGAGAGAAACACTAGCCAAAGGAGAAGATGAAAAGTCTGTAAGTATCATCAGAAGTTTCTTGAATACTTACCAGTTAGAGGTTACAAAATAATTCCTACTAGATATTAAAATAAAGTTGAGATTTACTTGCCCAAATTAGATCTGTAGAAGTTGGATGTATGTGTCTGAATAGTTCTCACTCCAGGCTCTATTTAAACTCTGAAGGTGGTCACATAATAGAAGTTTTCTGAAATGTTAAGCCTCCAGAAGATGATTTATCTTTTTCTAAGATATGCCTCTATGGCAACAGGGGGCGAATTCAGGCTCAACAGGGATATTATTTTTCTCCACTGACTAATAAAAAGGGCAGCCCAGGCAATGAGTTATAGATATCTGGAGTGAGGGAAGATGCACACTAACCTTGGACAAGAATTTATAACTCATTCTGATTCCAGGCATAAATGCAGTGTAGAATCTTCAACCTGGCCTTACAGAGCTGCTTACTGCACATCATAAATTCTGTGCTACTATTCTAAATCAAAGAACAAATCACACCAAGTATGAGGGAATAAAATCATGTATTTTGTCAACTTACCAAAGGAACTCTTCCTACTAGCAGAGATTCAGTTTCATTATGTAAGGCCTTCACGTTGACAGCTATCTCCATGGCAGTGTTTCTGGTTAGGCTCTGGGGAATGAGAAGCATAAAAATTATTTGATGGGATGCTAGTTGGACTGAGAATAAGCACTTTGTGCTTACTGCATTCACCATGTATTCTTCTAGGAGAAATATATCAATTTATAATGCTACAGTGACAACTTCTTCAGCACTGAGATCACAAAAAAGAAAAATGTATTATCTATTTACTGTCTTTCCTCAACTTTATTTAATATGACCTTATACAATCTTGAAGAGACAGTGAGCAGGCCCTGTGAGATGAATTCATGATTTTCATGGATGGCAAAGGCCAGCAGAAAAGTTGTGGTTCTCATTTAATGGACTGTCGATCTGAATCACCCACCTTATTCTTAGAATAAGTTAGCTGCTAGGCATATTTTAAGAACCAAAGGTTAGCTAACGTAGTTACCATAAATAAGCTTAGGTTAGTTAAAACTCTGTAGAAAGACTCTATCTAATTATTCATCTTTGGGTCCAACCCCTGAAAACAGCATTGCCCATTGTAAAGGAGACTCAGCCCTCTGCTCCCTTTGCATTCTGTGCATAACATTTGAATAACAACAAAGCATGAACATTTCTATGAACACATTCACAAGAATTGACCTGTATGTAGTAATATAATTTGTTGAGCCTTTATCATGCCTCTAATTGTCTGGAGACACATCAAAATGATTGCCTGCAAGCAGATGTCAGCTTACTCTGCGTACTGTTTTTGCTCTTTGCTGATATGAGTCTGGTTTACTCCTGCTTAGAACTATATTAGCACAGCACCTTGCTTGATCTAATATGCACTCTTGCACAACTTCAGGATGAACACCCTGTGTATCTCCTCTACAGATGGATTGAATTCTTCACTGCTTCCTAAAGACAACAGACATATTTTCTTTATGCCTCCAATCCAACTTTCCTTTTGGGTATTTCCCCACCACAACAAAACTCAGATGTTCCACATATTCAGTCATCAAAGTGCCTTTTGAACATCCAGCACTCACAAAAGGGAACATCAGCTGAGTGGGATAATGATGAACGCAGAAACTATATCTTTTGCTTTCTAAGATGCCATATAGATCAGGAGGGAACTCTTCGCCTTCTTTTGTAGATGGATTTTTCCAATTCACATTCACATGAAGAAATTTCAGAATCTTTGAACGTGATTTCTACCAAGTTGATCAGCTATTAGTTGTTCCCCTACTCATGCACAGAGCTGAGACTTCCAGCTGCTACACAATCCAGCACCTTCACAACTGGAAGTACAAAGGCTGCTCCAACTGCCAAGCTTCCTGTTCCATTATATCAGCCCTAAAATCAGAGGTGGATGTCAGTGGCACGGCTGTAGAGCTGAACCTTCCTGCCAATATCCCATTGCATGTTTTTGCCGTGTGACAGATGGCAGCAGAGGAGCAGTCTGACAGAATGGTGCCTGACATGAAACGAAGGTGTGCCATGGAATTCCTCCAAGAAGAAAAAATGGCGCCCATCAACATTCACTGACGCTTGGAGAATGCTTATGAAGACCTAACATAGGATGTGAGCACAGTGAGGCAGTGGGTGATGTGTTTCAGCAGTGGCAGCAGTGGGTCAGCCCTGCTGGTGCAGGCTGTTATGAGCACAGCATGCATAGCTACTGGTAGTAACCATGATAAAGAACAGTGTTTTGTAGCTGAGAATTTGCTCTATCAAACAGTGTTATTGTATCTGTTTGTATCTGATGTAGTTTCTATGGAAATAAAAAGGAGAGGCAATACTTTAGGAGTGATCTGTGAGTATCTCCGTTCACTTTCACCTTAGAAGGAGTGACAAAAAAAAAAAAAAGAGGATACAGCATCCATTCATCTGTTAAGCAATTTCATTTTAAACTTGAGTATGGTAAGTATATTTATGAGCCTTGTTTATAAAAACGTCATTAACTATCACCCAACATGTTGCAATATGTCAACTGGGAGTACAAACTGATTCTATGTCACAACTTCACACATATATTTACTTGTAATGCATTCACTTAAACATAACAAAAACTTAATGTAAACGTCTGTTCTTCCTTTACCTCAGGAAACCTTGGGTTGGCTTTATTTAATGCATGTGAACACGCATTAACAGCATGAGCAAGCTCCTGCTCCAAGAGGCCATGTATTTTTGCTGCTTCACAGATTCTAAAAAACAAAACAAAACAAAAAACAAAACAAAACAAAACAGAAAAATATTTCTTATCTCCCTTAAAGAGCAATTTTTAACAGTATGCAGTATTATCATGGGAAAAAACATACAAAAGTCATGACATACTTAAGAAATACAGTTCTCTGTAACAGAAGTTCAATTGCAAGTATCACTTGAAGCAACTCAGCATCTCATATAAATGACATCCATAAGACTGGAGACTTATTCTGCTACAACATAGCAAAAATTGTACCCAGAAATGTGGGGATCTTTACTCAAACAAAGTGCAAAGGAAAACCATCACTTATTAAGTGAACTTATTTGAAGGTATCTTAAAAAGCATTAAATATTCTTCTTAAAGAATACCCACCAGTATTCCATTACATGCTTTTACCATGTGAAAATGCAGAGCTAATCACAGTGACTATGTTGAAAAAGAGTGTTTCATGGCTGACAATTTGCTCTTTTTTGTTGTATCTACCGTTGCTTCCACGGAATTAATTAGGAAGCATTACTTTCAGAGCAACTTAAGTAGATGCAGCTCTAGACAATTCCTGTTCACTCACTGCAGACCAGAGAAGCCAGAAGGCTGGAAAACCCGTGATCTACATTGTTTTTCTATGTCTATGTAAGTCACCAGCACAGCACAGAAAGAGTATGCACTTTTTCATATTACCAGTGCACTTCAAGAATCACTTCTGATGCTTATGACAGATTATCATTATGATGAATTTAACAGCAGCTTCATAAAACGTTTCAATTAAATTGTTTTTTAAATAAGTTTTTATGTGAAAATTGTTGCATCTTCTTTATTAAAATACCTTCTGAAACAAGCAGTTCTTGAAAACAAGTAAGGCAATGGATCAGTTCTGTACCAGTAGCTCATCATCACCTCAACCCATATATACAAATAAACTGAGATAGGGGAAGTTTAGATTAGATATTAGGAGGAAGTTTTTCACCCAGAGGGTGGTGATGCACTGGAACAGGTTGCCCAAGGAGGCTGTGGATGCCCCATCCCTGGAGGCATTCAAGGCCAGGCTGGATGTGGCTCTGGGCAGCCTGGTCTGCTGGTTGGTGACCCTGCACTCAGCAGGGGGTTGAAACAAGGTTATCATTGTGGTCCTTTTCAACCCAGGCCACTCTATGATTCTAGATTGGTTCAGTCATATTATTGAAGTTAAACACTTCACTTAAGGTCACAGGGATAAGGATTTTGAGTATTAAGAATGAAATGAAAAGCTACAATAACTATGAATGAGTGGATAAATGCAAAAAGGTATGAAGATATGGCAACTTGGGCTCCTTGAATATTAGTGCGTTAATTGTTTACTTGTAAAATATTTTACAAGAACTTTCATGTTTATTGAAAAGTGCTTATATTTAATAAAATGTGAATAAATGGACTTGAAGGAGAAATAAAAGTGGATGAGGAAGAAGTAATGGTGGAATAAAAAGTCAACAGAAGAAAATGTTTGGCTGGTCAGAAGCTGCTGGAACAGGAAAATATTTTATGTTATTTAAAAAAAACACAGAGTCAAACACCTGAGATTGATCTGTCCACAGTATGAATTATCAGGAATGTAAATGCCTATACCTGTTATAGCCAAGATTCCCTCTATAACCAATGGAGAAATATTCCAGGACAAAGGCTCCTCTTGTAAAATGTGCATCAAAAAAGTAAATCAGATGTATAAAGTTCTATAAATACCAGTTAATTGACTATCAAGGTAACACGGCGTTACTAGATAAGATGGGTGCATTCACATTATTCACTTCTAATGTTGATTTTCAGGGTTTTCTTTTTCCCAGTAAATACATTTTTGCTTTTGATTAACATGAGATGCTTCAATCAAAAGTCTCTCCGTAAAGAAGCTTTTCAGGTATCTGTATCTACTGCTCCTTTAAAAAGTCAGTTCTCTAGAGACTGATAATTCTGACCACTTACATACACAAACCAGTTGAGCCTCAAAAAACAACAAAATAACAATAAAATACACACTACGAAGTCTACACATGCACTTGTATGAATGATTCAATCTCGGTATACAGGTTGCCAAATTGAGTTTTCTTATTTTAGTGTACCTTGTAATAAGTTCTTCTGCAGCTTGTGAGCACAGCTGGACCTGTGTGACTTCTTCTTCTGTAGCCAACTCAACAGCCTGTTGAGGGTATAAGGGAGATCGAATGACAGATTTGCAGGAATCGTACTTTTGTTTGTCTTCCCAAGACTTCAGGGTGTTTTCAAAGGCCTGATCAAAACAAATTACACATTCAGTTCACAGCATTTGCAGCACTTTTGTTTATAGACGTAAAAGCATGTGGAATTGCACATAATTTTATATAAATAATATAAGCTCTCTAAATCCTTAAATTACTTTTCTTTTTTAAACTTAGTACAGAGAATGAGTCACTCCTGAAAGTGTCACTTCTCTCTCTTCCTCTCTCCCTCTCATGCCCTCAACAAGTCCCTTCAAAAGTTGTAAGAATGCAAAGGCCCTAATTATACAATTTCATTTTGTGAGGACAGTAAGATCAGATCTGAAAGAAAAGCAAGGTTCAAACCTAAAGAAAAATTGTTAACATTTTAAGAATACATTTTAATAATTCTAATAATAGTTGGAATACAGTTCCAATGCCATTAATTCCACACTAAATTCAAGATTCAGGTAGAGGACAGAGAACTGAGGGACAGCTAAGCCTTTAGCATGGTAATCTTAGATAAGTATGAACTTTAGTGGCTTTGTGACTAGGGACTCGTGTCCCTTCTTTCTGAACTGTCATATAGGATGCAGGGTTAGCAGGACAGAGAGACTGGAGAGAAATCTGAAAAGCTATCATGGAAAACAGACATTATAGAACGCTGCTATTTCTGCAATTTGCTAAACTTCTAATATGTGATTGTCCATATACCTAGGGCCTCAAAATGAAAATATATGAAATTTTGACCATTCTTCTTAGTATGTATTAATAAGAACACAGGAATAGCACTAACATAACTGATAAAGACCAACAGAGAGCTGTGTCACTCATACAAAAGAATGATTATCTAGCTTATTATGGAAGTGACACAACTACAAGTAATTATATGTTACATAAATTGTTACAAAACATTCTTTTAAGCACTGTTTTTTCCTGTTATAAATAAATCAAATTACTGTGGAAAATAATATTAGCAAAGGTGCATCGTAACACACTTTCTGTCACATACTCTGTCTCGTGTTAGCATCTGAGCTCTGTTTTTATGTACAATTTTAATAACTCCTGGGGGCTGGATCCATGCCTCTCCATCGACTTGCACTGGAACCCCTTCATCACCAAGTATGGTGATCTTCACTGACCGACACTGGAAAAGAACAAACACGTTATTTTACTGAGCCATAAATATTAATCAAGCTGACAGGCCACCTGAAATATGTTGATTATGAGGAGCTGTGGCATCTCTCCAGATTGGGCTCAAGGGTGTAGCACTTTCATACTTCATCCATCATTTAAGACGATTTGTTATCCACTAAAATTAAAACACTTTCAGTGCTTTATTAATGCGTGGGGCAGTGGTCATCTAGAGTACCCCCACACTTCAGCATCCCAAACTGATGACAACTATACCATGTCCTTTCAAGCAAGAAACAGACCTGAGCTATCCGGTGGTGCTGCAGTTTGATAACTCTTGAAACTGCCATCTGCATGCTACCAAATACGGCCACAACTTCTAGGATTTTATCATCAAAAGATGGGGCCCCAAATATCTGAAAGGAAAAGAAAATATTCCGTTTTCCATGGTTAACCCAGTGCATGTTAAATGATAAACAAACTCAGCCTTCTTTTCTGCAGGTTCACTTACAGATTCAATTTCAACATTCATTTAAATGTCTTAAAATAACTATACCATCCCTACAAATGCCATACGAGTGAAATATCATCGACAGAAGGCAACTACTATCTTCAAAAAGCAATGACAACAACATTTCAAGTATCTGAATGATATCCCTAGATATAAAAGGTGGCACAGTTCAGTATGCAGACTAAGGAATGTTTTTCAACACAAGATGAAGGGCTAGTTCAAACCTCCACTCAGCTAAGGTATTTAATATCTAAGAGGTTCTTGAAGTTGAGATGAGTAATAGTGTGGGTTTTTTTCCTCAGAAATGCTTATCTTCCTATATTCTGTATTCTCTGGAAACCAGTGTCTGAGCCCACTCTCAGCTTTGATAAATGCTGCTTTAATAGCGAGAAGAATCTTGTTTTCAGTGTAAATAATTATCTGCAGTAAAAGTGAAAACTGCTTTTGCGTGGAACAAACATCCTGATCCAGTCAAGGCTTTGAATTTCCATGAGTTAGCAAAAGTGCACAAAGCCAAGTGTGTGTCACTGGCAGCTGGTGTCCTGCAGCAAAACTCAGACGTGTATCCCAGGCTGGAGTTCAACTCATTCAAGAGAGATAGGGTCTAACCCTACCCCTAAGGCACCTGAAGATTGAGCATTTCATATTGACATGGAACTGGGAGCAACAAGGGAGAAAAATGAGCAGATATGACTCCAGTAAGATTACAGGGGGTAAAGAGACCATTTCTGAATGGCACTCAGGCAAACTTAATTGGCACCATGTGCAAAGTAAGCTGCTTTGATGACACCAGAAGCCATACAAGAGAAAACCCTCAAAAGGAGCCCAAAGCCAAAACTAGTCAGGTTTCGCCCCTTGGAAGTGGATTTCCTGGAGGTGAAGAATAAGAGAATGAAGATCCAGGACTGAACAAACCATCTAATCACTGCAGCAATGTCTTAGGGAGGGTGAGGTTGGGAAACAAGGAAGAACTTTGGTCCCTATTGCTCCCCTCTCCAATGGGAGTCTTCACCCCAGTGCAGTGATGTGGCTTTGGCCTAGGGACTGAGGAAATCCTCTCAGGCAAAAGGCTGCACAGTTGCCATCATTTAGTACCCCATCCAGGTGTCGACTGTCCTCAGAGCATCCCAGGATGGCACTGAAGTAAGTCTAGAACAGACAAGTGTCAAAGAATGAAAACGCAACTGTACTGAGCCTGGAGTCACAGCCATCAAGGCAACATCTTCCTTTTGTCCAGCTAAGCAGAACTGGCAGCATTTCAGATCATCACCATCAATGACATCAGTCACTCAGGACTGCAGTAAAAGCAGTGAATTACGTTCCTAACTTTGTCCAGAATAAACATGTCACTTTTCTGGCAACAGACAACCACAAATATCAATAAAACTGCTCTGAGACATACACACTTGCTGTATGCCAGTATGAAAGCTAGGACAGATCTCTCTCAGTGAAACGGCCAAGAGAGAACAAGATCTCCTGAATAGGAGCTGAGTAGATATTAGAGATGCTTCAAGGCTATGAATGTGAACACAAAGAATATCAAAACATTAGACACCCATAGCCAAATATAAATGTAACTGCCATTCTCTGACACATACCAAAAATAATAAAAGGACATTGAAACGCATTCAGCATTTTGTGTGTGTGTGTGTGTGTGTGTGACTTTTATGTATGTATTAACCAGAGAATCGTAAGTCACAAGAAAGCAAAAGCATTCTGGTGAAAAAAAAAGTCCTGGATTATTGATATTAAAACGCTCTAATTTGCAAGTACAGTTTTAGGGGAGTCAGATCTCACAGTAAATTGGGACATTCAGAATCGGGATAATCTGCTAGCAATTACAACGGCTGCACTGGGCATGAAGCACAGAGCAGCAGTCAGACTGCTTCACACTGGAAAACATTCAGATATCTGAGTAGTGCAACATCTCTTAAGAGATTTGAAGCACAAGGGAAAAAAGCTCAATGAAAATAGTACTTAAAAAGCAGATTACTATCCCCACTTAATTACCAATCAGTAAGTACCGTCCACACTTCTGAATGACCACCCATTAGCTGAAAGCTGTTGGAAAAGGAGGAGGAAAATTTGGATATAAACTCTGTGATCATCTTTGCCCATTTTCCTCATTGTTAGACTGTAACAGAGGAATGTATGCATTGAGAAACCTCATTTACAACAGAACATGACAAAAGACAATGCAAAGTCATGGCATATGTATTCTCAATTAAAAAATCAAACATAAGACAATATGGTTTAAACTCAAGTAGACTCCCTAGAAGGTCACTTCTGTTCAATATTACTCACATCATCTTCCTTGGTTCCTCCCCAGAAATTGGTCCCACCAGCATAGCTGGGAATGTTTAGCACAGCTATGCCCTGCAGGCTTGGAAGAGGGATGTACTGTCCATCACACTGTAATGGATAAAAGCTCATTCAGTACATAAATAACGTGGTAACAGCAGTTGGCTGTTTTAATACATGAATAATCACTAGAGCTGTCACAGAGGACAGACTCATTAATAGGTTGACAGCAGCCTATTCCACCCACACTGCGGAGCAGCTCTAATAATCTTTTCCTCATCGATTTCAGAAACAATTTTTGCAGAGATGATGAGTCTCTACAGCAGAGGTGTTCTATGATTCTTCCAAGCAGCATTTTAACACTCCTAACTGCTAAATTTCTCATACATTTTAACCATGTGCTGTCTATCAAGGATTACAAATCTCTGTGCAATTAGGAAAGCTAATTCTTTGAGTGTACACGGTAAGACAGTAATGCCCACTGACATTACAAAAGCTTTATTCACCCATCCAGTATCTGCACTGCCAAAATTGCAATTTGCTTGTTGGTTAGGTAATCTCATTAAGTGGGGAAAAAAAAAACCCAAAACCCAACACAAAACAAATTGTAAAATATAAAAAACACATTGTGGCATGGCCATAAACATGATAAACGAGAACACCATTAGGACTGTTTAGAGTGGCCAGGCACTGGAATGGACTGCCCAGGGAGGTGGTGGAGTCACCAACCTTGGAGGTGTTCAAGGAACATTTGGATGTTGTGTTGAGAGACATGGTTTAGTGAGAACTATTGGTGATAGGTGGATGGTTGGTCTTGCAGGTCTCTTCCAACCTTGATGTTTCTGTGATTCTGTGATTCTGTGACTTGTATGCATGGCTTCCTGCACAAATAACTCACTGTCCTCCCAAAAGTGTAAAGACAAATCTAGGACTGACTCCAGATTTGTCACCTTGGCTGTGTGCAGGAGTTTGGTGGCGAGGGGTTGCAGGTAAAAGGTTGGTCCTCTTTATCCTCTAAAAATCAAAAGCAACAACAAGGACTACACAATATAATCACAGAATCATGTCTGTCAGGTCAATCTCACTTTACTTGTGATCAGAGGACATTAACAGTGAAAAAATCTTTGGCTACAAGTGCTGTCCTGCAGCAGCACCACCAGCGTGTATTTAAAGTGAACAGGACATCTAAGAATCTACATGCTGGATTCAGTGTCACTTTGGAGATAATGAATTTGCAGGTAAAGTTTCTTTTAAAGAAGATTGCTAAATTACCAAGTTACTAATGCCATGGAAATAGAATTATACAAGTGAAGTAGAAATCCCTAGAAAATAAGGAGGAAATCTTCAGCAATTGTATCAAGAGGAGAAAGAGATGCAGAATATTTCCAGAATATGATTAGCATTTTCTTTTCATGCTTTAATGTCAGCAACAAGACACAGTTAAACATTTCCATCAAAATGTGTCAGTAGCCAACATATGCTCTGATATTAACAGATGCTGCATAGCCATTTGTACTGCAGTAGAAGTTTGCCTCCGATTCCTGAAACTGATATTTTTAATTTTCCAAAGCTGAGCACCTCATCACAAGCTTTAACATAAGGCTGATATTATGCAAGCCAATAATAGATGTGAGTTTTCTACTTGCTGTTTTACTTGCAGATATATTCAAAAATAATTATGGAGAGGTCAGACATGAATGCCTTTTTGAATCTTATTCAAATATCGTTAAATTAGAATTCTATCTGCAGCATATATAATGCTCCTGGTTGTCATTATATTCACTAACTACTGCATAATTCCTTGATAATTATTCAATTGTTAGGTAACAACAAGCTGACTCTACCATAAAATATCCTCCTAAAGCTCAGTGAGAGAAAGAGTTCCTAGGTGTTCAAGAAACATGGGGATGTACTGAGGTTTTCTGGGGAAATATGGGTGGTAGGTGGATGGTTGGACTGGATGATCTAGGAGATCTTCACCAACCTTAATGATTCTGTGAACTTACAATGATATATGTTATAACAGAACATAAATTTATGATGTTTATCTCCATATAAACATCATGAAATTCCACTTAAAATAGTTAGCATGAAGAAAAAAAAGACACTGCTTATTTTCTCTGTCAACCTCCAGCCTAAGTATTCTTTGAGTGAACGCAACCATGACTGTCCCACAGCCATTCTGTGCATTTGGTGACTATTTATATCATCTCCTGTAAAGTGCTGGGATTGTGAATAAGACTTAGATTTGGTGCTACAACCTAAAAAAATAATGATGTTCAGATAATTTATACCTCATTTGTTGTTGCTGTGATAATACCTTTCTCTTGCTCTGTGTGGTTACCACAAACACCTATTTGAGAAAGTCTCTGTAGGTGTAGCTGTGCTTCTTGTGATGCTCACTCGGAATCTTTCCTCTTCTGTCAGGATTTTTTTTCCTAAGGCCATCTGTGTGCTCTCTCTATATGTGTAATCAAGCTGTCAGATAGTTTAAAATGAACCTGAAGCATTAAAATTTGGCAAACTTTTCCTTCTGTTTAGTGTATGCACCCTTCTGTTATTGTCCTTAAAACCCGACCTCTCAACCTAAGGCAGTGCACATTAAAAAACATCCTTTATTATGTATGTATTACCTGTGCAACACATTTTAAACGTTTTTTAAAAAGCATTTACAACAAACATGAAACCAGATACCTAGAGATATTTAAATACTGACATTTAAATCCAATAAATCATCTGGGGAATTGCCTCTTACATAGAATGTTTTTAGACAGTGTGTTTGAAGGAAGGATTTTACAAGCCTGGGCTGACGCAGGAACTCTGGAAGTTTTCAAGGGGAATCAGATTCATCACTACATGTTGCAGAAGGAAAAAAAAAAAGATCATTCTACCTACGAACAAAAAATTACCTCAAGTTGAACTTTTTGTTCTAAGTTCTTGTAAGTTCTCTGCAGTAGCTCTTTTGTGCCAAGAACTCCATACCACATCATGTTTTTTGTCCGACTTCTGCAAAAAGGTAAAATAACAAATTGAAATACACATATTATGTCTTGTACTCGTAGGAGAAAGGAAAAAACAAAGAACTCAATTACAGAGATAAGGAAATGTATAGAAATGTCTCAGCTCTGTTACTGACAATTACCTGCATTTTTCAGGGTGCTCTTCTCGCTTGTTATTAAATTCAAGTGAAATTTTTGCATCTAACCCAATTCCAAAATAGTTGTTCATGACACATTTTTCTGAATATCCCTCCCTTTTAGAAGAAAAGAGATAATTAGTTGCACATTTTTACAGTTCCCAAGCACACAGAACTATGACCAAAACACTGGAAGGTATCAGAGCAGACACATCAACAGGGATACATCACACAACAGTTCCTCTGAACCTCCCCAAGGGAGCCTAATGGTTGTCAAAGAGACAGATTGGCTGCTGCCTCCTTTGCAAGTGCAATTAGCTTCTGGTAAGAGAAAGAAGAAACTGTAACATACCCCAGTATCTTCACCAAACCCAAAATAACAGTGGAATAGGAGGAAAGATCTGCCTTGTACACAGCTCTGAGGCAGCAGCGCCAAAGTGGGCTGAGCACCAAGGCTGCATTTAGACATGCTGGTGGTACTGGCACAGCAGTGCTTTGTTTTAGATTTTCCATGCGGAGCCACAGCCCACAGCTCAGATGCCATCCGTAAGGCTCTGTCAGTGCTACATCCAATTCTGGGAAGCAGAGACAATTTAGGACACAAAATTCCTGCCTTACTGTCCCAACCCTTAGGCAGGCACTTCTTCCTCCACCCCAAGGCCCTACTTCAGTGTTTTGCTGGCAGCAGAGCTTGTGCGCAGACCAGCAGTTTAGGCAAGAGAATCCATTTCTGCTGTACTGATGTTCCTGTTCTCTCAGAGACCGTGCAAGGAGTAAGTGAGCAAATGTTATCCATTATTTCTGCTGTTACAAGACAATCCTGGGCTACTCATAACTAAGGGCACAATGGCACAATCCAGCATGTTTTCAGACCTTCAGGTCTACAGAAAATAGATAGCAAAACAGAATTTCATAGTGAAAAAAACAAATTACGACAAGCTAAAAGGTTTAAGTGATGCTAAGTAAAGTGAAACAGTAAATTTTGAAGAAAAAAAAGATTGCTTACAATGAATCTGGATCCGGGTCAATAAATGGTGTAGCACCAAATGGATCAATGTTAGCCAATAACATTTTGCTAATAATTGAACTTCCTGCAATAGAAGCAGCTAGGCCAGCCCTTAAACCTGATAAAAAGAAATATAAATATCAAGAAAATAGCTAAACAATTTTGATTTATTAAATAGAGAAACATACGTTGTCATAATGCGATATAATTCTGAGACAAAATATTCATCAAATCCTTGTACAGAGGGGTTAAGATTCTATCTTAATTTTTATCTATATTGATTATCTTTTCAGGATTCTAGTTGTCTTGAACAGAAAGTCAGTTATGCTGAGGTTTGGCTAAATCTTCAGGTACCACCATTGAAAAAGATAAAAGAGAAAATCCAAGATTTCAGGCCAACATTGAATGCTTGGCATACAACCAAATCATCCATCTAACACTGAGAAATATCATTAGTTTTCACTCAGTCTAATTTTCATCCCCAAACTCATCACAATTTCCTTTTTGTCCTGTCCTTTGGAAGGCAACTGTCGTAAGATCAACATTCATGTGGTTGGTTCTGGAACCAGCAAGTATGCTTCAGTGAATGCTTACATGTTTAGCTTGGTAAGCATAAGCTGAGTGAGAGGCTCCTGAAGACTTGATGACCTCTCTATGCCTACTTTGATCACTGAGCACAACACAAAATACTATGCAATGCAAATAAATAGAGGGAAATACTTTCTAAAAGCTTTTGCTTAAATTGACCTGAAGAAAAATGTGAGCTCATATCCATCATTCATTAAATGCATTAATTAAGTTAGTTAAAACAGTGATTTATTGGTGCCCCCTACTATTAATTGCATTCGGGTAGGAACAGATTTGTTTCAGCTGTGCAGGAGATCAGACCCTTAAGATGAATGATGGAAGATCCTGCATTCCAATTTTTCATCATTCAGAATCAAATACAACACTTCTGCTACATCTGGTGTTGTGCCGAATGACCAGGAGTATCCTACATTCCTTTGCACTTCCTACTAAACGATACAACACGAAGGAGTGTTTGTCAGTTCAGATGAATTTGGAGGGTTCTATTTCCACGTAGAGCACCAGGCGTGAAGTATTATTTGACAGCAAGAAGGAGAACAGTAGGCAATATTAACACAGAGTGAGGAACACCAGATTTTAAAATCACAATTACCTGGGCAGATAATCCTAGTGTTAAGGACAGGGAGGTTCTCTTTGCTGGCAGCCAAAGCTGGAGCAGAGAAAGAGCCTGTCTGAGAATGGATACCTCGACTTGTACGTCGATCAGGAGATCTTGGTGCAGTTTTACCTGTTCAGAGGTAAAAGAAAGAGAACTTACTAGAGCAATTGTGGTAAACACACTGTTTTTAAAGCCTTGAAAGTAATTCAAAAGCATTTATCTGCTATGCTTCAGTGAGAAACTTCCTTGTCTCTCACACAATATTTTTGCTTCTAAATACCAGGAAGAAAACTCAGAACAGGAGAGGGTACGACTGTTTACATGGGTGGATAGTGATAGGACAAGGAGGAATAGTTTTAAACTGAGACAGGGGAGCTTTAGGTTAGATATTAGGAGGAAGTTTTTCACTCAGAGGGTGGTGAAGCACTGGAACAGGTTGCCCAAGGAGGCTGTGGATGCCCCATCCCTGCAGGCATTCAAGGCCAGGCTGGATGTGGCTCTGGGCAGCCTGGTCTGGTGGCTGGTGACCCTGCACATAGCAGGGGGTTGGAACTGGATGAGCATTGTGGACTTTTTCAACCCAGGCCATTCTGTGATTCTATGACCAAGTTTAACAAAAATGCAGACTTCGGAAAGAAAAAAAAATCAATTATTATTATTAAAGGATAAATGTCAATGAATTAATATGAATTTGAACTTAAATTTCACATGCATTTACTTATAAATATACCCATATTATATATTAAATATAATATAAGAGAAACCAAGATATTACATATTTATAGTAATTCTGTTATAGATAGCTATTATAAAACCCAGGCTGAAATTAAGCCACCTGATGAACAGCAATAATCCTTGCTTTAAGCAGCTAACATTGACCTCCTTCCTGCATCAGGTTTCTGAAAACATCAACCAAAACTTTGATATCTTTATCTACAACCAAACTGAAAACTGCAAGGGGCGGAAAAGCCACATTCAGATGTTATCTTCTGCAGTTACAGAGATCACAAAGGAGATCAGTTTGCCATCATTTCTTTTTCACAAATAGCAGGAATTCTCCAAATAATTGAAGACATTTATGTGTTAAAAATTTTACAGAATATAGATGAAGAAAATCTTGCAACATGTAAATTTGGCAGCTGGTCAAATTGTTGGTGACAAAGGCAAGTAACAGTCCAGGAAAAAGAACGGGAAGAAAATCAAGGGGAAAGTGAAGATATGATAAAAACAGGAGTCAGTGTGCTCAGGTGGCCAAGAAGGTCAGTAATGCAGTCTAACTATTTGTATATGGGCATGATAAAACACTGTACTATAATGATAAAAAATGAAACAGAAACGGCAAGCTGTATCTAACAGGAGTTATGAAATACTTAAATGAAGTTAATTAACATATGGAAAAATATTACCTTCATCAAGTGACCAGAAATAATCTCAGAGGGTAAAATATGATATTTAGAACACAATTAACTTATATTTTTCTTAACACTACTGAAAAATTCACAGTGCTATTCACGCAGTCTGTTCTCTCTGTACTTGGGAACAAGGCAGTTACATTAAATAGGAAAATCAACAGAACAGCTGCTCTTTATTTGACAGATGAGGCTCATGGGGATAACTACAATAAAGATAAACTTTTGCTGTTCATGCTCTGATAAAAACAACAGAGCCCTAATGAGTAGAACTGATGTTTCATTGCAGATAATTGAATCCATGTTTCATACTTTCTCCCTAAGCAGCTATCTCCCACTGACAACATTAATATGCACTCTATTTCACATATTTCAGATGGATGAAGAATAACATATTTCTGCAACAGGCACAGAAACTGTACTACCAAGAAACCAGGGGTTTTAATTTTATTTTGCATCAGTGGCATTAGGACCAGGTCATTCTTAGTGCCAGCATCCTCTGTGAGCTGGAACTGCTGAAACAGGACAACCAATATGCATTGTGTTGGCTAGGGGTTAGAGGTTGGTTCATGGTTAGAGGGGATAATGGAGAGACAATCATTGCACAAAGTCTGATATCCACTCCTGGAGAAAAAGACGTGTGAGATCCTTAATCAACAGAAGTCCCAAGGATCTAATGGTGCATTTCTAAAGCAGGAACACTGGCAGAGACACCAACAGAACCTCAGGAGGACAGCATCTCGTGAAGATTTGCTGTGTCTTAGGGTAAAGTGAGGGTCTCTCACAGACAGACCTTTCACTGCAGCCACTTGCTGCCAGATTTTGTAATGGACACTTGGAGGAGAGATTTTACTCTATCATTTGAATGTGTGAATTAGTACTATTCTGTGTCAGAACACAAGTTGGCAATACTATTCCATAAATACTACTTTACACGCAGTAAACAAACACTTGAATAGCCAAAAGGAAACATAGACAAAGAAGATGTTTCTCAGAGAGTAATAAAAACAATGCAAATAATCAAACCTTATTTAACTGTGCAACCAACTATGTAGGAAGACTGCACACTTTAAAATGATTTTATTACTATTTTACTCACTTGTCTGGGATTCATATTCCTTTGTATCTTCCTCTTTTTCCTCTTCTTTGGATTCATCCAACTCCTTGCTGTATTCTACAGGGGACTGGTTCACTTGTTCTTCACTATGAGCATTTTGCTCATCCACAACTGCTTATTTCAAAAAATAAAATAAAATAAAAATAAGAAAAACTTTAAAGATCTCTACCAAAAATACACATAAACAGAAATCTAGCATTAGGCTTTTTTTTTCCTGTAGCTGCAAGTTAAAAAATATTAACAAGAGATTTCTATTTTGCCTCTCCAGTGAAAATGATTCTATAGCAATCCTTTGCCCATTGATATAATTCCATCAGAAACTGCCATTTTCTGAAGGTTAATAATTACAAAAGACATGTATACACGCACACACATGCATAAACATGTATTCATATATACAACAGACCATCATCAACTTCTAAACATGCTGCATTTCTTGTCCTTGAAGCTCACAATAAGCATATGCATGTAAGAATAAAAATTTCAAGCTTCAATATTAAAATTTATGCTAGCTTTAAGGAAAAAAAAAGCATCCTTATCAGTAAAGATGAATGTGCACCTTTTTCTGCTTGTTCAATGATCTGCCTCACAGCCTTCTTTAAGCTGTTTGCCCGGAGCATCAACTGTTCTCTTGGTTTGAAGAGTTTCTGGGTGGAAGACTTTGCAACACATTCCACTAATTGCTCTTTACTTTCAGACAGGGATTCCTCACTTGAAAACTCCTCTCCTTCTTCTTCAACAATGGGGGGAGTGACGCCTGGGAGAATAGGAGCAGCCTGGGCTTCTGTGTGAAGCGCTTGGAGCAACAGGTCGAGCTTTTCATTTAGCTCTGAACACTAAGAAAAGGGGGAAAGAATACACATACGCTAAAAAGCAACGAAGGTGGACATCTTGAGGAAATTAAGCATGATATTAGAGAGAGATATCTATGTTCTCCATGTGGTATGAACTAAAATTGTGCCTAGATCTCTATGAAATTATCGATGTAAAATCTAAAAATGGGTTCAACGTTTTGTACTATCAGATTATGAGTAGGTTTGCACGGACTGTTGGGAGACAGACCCTGCAACATTCAACTTGCTTGAAGCAACTATAAACAAAAAAAGCTACATTCTGACTAAAACAACACATAGTGCTAAACTCAGCCTGCCATTTAAGTAGGATACTTGCCCAGAGAAGCTTTGGATGCCCCATTCCTGGAGGCACTCAAGGCCAGGCTGGATGGGACCCTGGGCAGTCTGATCTGGTGGCTGGCACTGCACATAGCAAGGGGTTGCAACTGGATGATTCATGATGTCCCTTTCAACTAAAGCCATTCTACTATTCTACTGTATAGATTAGATCCTACTCTTCTTCTGACGGTCAGCAACATAGGCAGGGCTACCAGATTTGTCCACACCACACAGTATAATTAATGATGGGCAGTCAGCATCCCAATTCAGAGGAACAATCTATGGAGACATGTCAGCCATTAGACTAAAAACACGTGGTGTTATTTTTTACAAGACAGCTGTACATTTAAGCAAGTGAATTGGCACTGAGGAAGCACTGTCAAACATCTCTTTTGCCCTAATCGAGCAGTTGCCCTCTCTAGATACACTGGAAAAGAGGCAAATTGCTGTGTTTAATAGAAACAGGGCTGTTTTGCCCTGGAACAGTGAAAAAAGCTGGACATAAGCCTTGCAGCTTGGAGGACTAACAGGCTGCATCCAAAGGGTGGTGATCAGCAAGGAGATGGAGGGGACTGTACCCCTCTGCTCTGCTCTCGTGAGGCCCCATTTAGAACACTGCATTCGGGTCTGGGGCTCCAGGAAAGGAAGGATGTAGAGCTGTTGGAGAGGATCCAGAGGAGGGCCAGGAAGATTATCATGAGCTGGAACATCTCTCCTGTGAAGAAAGGCTGAGGGAGTGGAGCTTGTTTAGTCTGGAGAAGTGTCCAGGAAGACCTCATTATGGCCTTCCAGTACTTCAAGGGAACTTACAAGCAGGAGGAGGAAAGAGTTTTTACACAGTCTGTTAGTGATAGGACAAGGGGGAATGGCTTGAAACAAAAAGATTTAGGTTACATGTTAGAAAGTTTTTTACTCAGAGGGCAGTGAGGTGCCAGCACAGGTTGTCCAGAGAAGCTGTAGATGTCCCATCCCTGGAAGCATTCAAGGTCGGGTTGGATGACCAGCCTGATCTGGTAGGTGGCAGCCCTGCCCATGGCAAGGGAGCTGGAAGTAAATGATCTTTAAAGTCCTCCCCAAACTAAGCCACTCAATGATTCAATGAAACGTGAATCATGAAGTAATTGCAATTTGTCAATCTTTGGACTCTGGGACTGTTGACAATTTTGTTTACTTAATTTCAGTTCATGAAATTTTGTTGGTCAGACAAAATCCTCCTGTCTTTTTCAATGTTTCTGCAACTTGACCTCTACAGTTTGTTAAGCTTTTATTTTTAATGCTGTAATTTCTCTTCCCTTCATTCTTCCATTATGCTCTCTCACTAGTTCATTGTTTTCCTGTAGCTAAAGTGATCACCTTCAGACAAAAGTATAAATACTAATGCAAATTAACTCAATCTCTACGTATATTCTGTGTTTTATCTTTTGCAAAGGAAAAAATGTGTAGAGTTTGTAGGGATCTCACAGTGCAAAGATGGTCTAAGCACTCAGAAGAGCAGAATTCGAAAGTCATTGCATGAAATGGAAGCCAAAATGGGCATCCTGAAGCCATTTGAAAATTAAACACCCATGTGCTAAAAACTTAAAAAAATAAAAAGAAAGAAAAAGAAAAGAGAAAAGAAAAAAACTTAACCCAGAAAATAGTCATAGTCTTACTTTAATGGCCATGGCATCAGCTTCATCTGCATTTTCCACTGGTTTTTCGTAAGTCTTCCCTATTTTGGCAACAAAGTCCTTTACAGTTTCACACAATATTCTTGGTAATAATAGAAAAGAGGAGAAATAAAATAAAATAAAATAAACATGTTTTGTATAAAAAACTCTTATGGCAAGTGATTTATATGCATACTGTCACACACTATTTTTGTTGCCAAATGAGTTTTGCAAATGGTATTTTTCTTCATGGTTTGCAAAATTCAAGTGAAAATCTATTAAAAAAAACATTCTCTTTTTCTTCTTTCATTTAAGCCATTGCATGCATCTTATTTCTAAGAACTTATATCAACATGACCAATATTAATTTATTTTACATGAACTAAACAGATTTGACAAGATACAGATACAATCTAGAGTTTTGAGTAAATAATATATATATATTATTTATAAATATGTAAATATATTTTTATATATATTTTATTTATAAATAAATAAAATTCCGCGGTTTCATTTTCAACATGCACTACGTATGCTTTAAAAATGAAATGCTGTTAACTTGCTTTTAGCAGAAGACAATGAGATGTAATGACAGACAGATGTATTTCTGAATATTCTGTGAGAAGGTATACACAGAATACTTATTTCAGATATGTCCATGATGTGTAGAGCAATTCTTTCACTTTTAAGTTTCTGTTTGCAGAAAGAGAAAATACCCGGTTGTCGGAGACCGCTGTTTATAGAACTGCCACAAACAGCTGTAACAAAGCCACTGATCTGAAATTCCGCTTCACTGCAGTGAAGCTTTTTGTCCTCTTAATGGTACAGGCATGCATAAAACAAAGCAGAATAGATGTGATGTGAAGTAGGTCACATAGTTACATTAGCAACTGCATGTTTCATATGTAATCCGTGTGAACTGTGAGTGAATTAAAAGCATTTTATAATAATATTACGTGATTTGTTTCAAAATGCTGCTGCTTTCGTTATTATCTATTTCCAATTGTAATGCATAAAACCTTTGCAGAACAAACATCTGCTCTAAGGTGTTAAGTCAAACCAGCTGGGCCTACCATAAGCAAACTGAGCTTAGACAGAAAGTTACCATGGTTGTAACATTACACAGAGGATTTATCCTATGCAGTACGTAAAAATGTCCGACTCACTTGGCAGAAGATATGACAACTGAGTGCTGATCAGAATTGAGAATTTTTGCAAGATGAGCAGCAACTGAATCCTCATAAGCCGAGATCTGAAAACAGAGAGGAAAGAAGACTTCAATTTCCAGACTTTTCAGTATTTTAACACCCACTTGTGTTTCAAAACATCTTAAACACAGCAGGATTTCCATAGCAAGGTCAAGCAGCTGGCAATGCTGCTCCTATCTACATACTAAATTTCACATAATGAATTTTTAATATTCAAAATAACACTGTATCTGAGAACTTGACCCTTGAACAGTTCTTTTCCTCCTTCTTCTAAAAAAGCTAAAAGTAGCCCATGTGGTAGAAACAATCTACCATCTTTTCAGATTTGTTACATACTAAACAATCATAATTTAATTTCTTCTATTTCCAAAACAAGAAAAGTTTCCATGAAGCTAAGCAGCTTGACTAAGAATAAGTCAAATGCCTGTGGTTATAATCTTGATTTTCCTTTTGCTGTCAAACGGTATCTTACTGCCCAAGTATTCCTACTGACAAAGGCTGTAAAACTCGGTATAATGGTATCAAAGAAAATCCTTTGTGATTCCTCATTAATTAGATTTCATAAAAAGTGTTTGGAGGAAAAATGTGCACTCTCCTACTTTTCCAGCCAAGAAGAATTCCTGAGTGTTACGATAGTTACAAAAGACTCAGTAGAGATCAGAATCATGTTCTCACACTGTTCTGCCTCAAAACAGGCATAGATCCAGATCTCATTTTTAAGAGAAAATTCTAACCACATTCCAGACTTAAAGCTAAAAATAACTGCAGTTTGACATTTTCTGATGGCTTCCTTTAGGAATCTCTTAAGATGCCTCATCGTGTTTTTGTCCTTGACATGGATGTACCTACCACTCTTTTTTTAATATTCATTTGTATATTTAATATTTACCAGATATATCACCTTTTTAATTTCTAAAACCCAACCTTAATTGTAGAGCTCTGATAGTAAATCAACTGTGTGCGCTTGTAGCTCAGAAGGCCAACTGCATCCTGAGTGCATCAAGAGAAGTGTGACCAACAGGGTGAGGGAGGTGTTTCTGCCCCTCTGCTCTACCCTTGTGAAACCCCACCTGTGTCCAGTTCTGGAGCCCCCAGCACAAGAAAGACATGGAGATGTTGGAGACGGACCAGAGGAGGGCCATGAAGATGATCAGAGGGCTGGAGCACCTCCCCTGTAAGAACAGGCTGAGAGCTGGGGCTCTTCACCCTGGAGAAGGCTCTGGGGGGACATTATAGCAGCCTCCAGAACCTGAAGGGGGCCTACAGGAAAGCTGAGGAAGGACTTTTTTTAAGGACATGTAGCAACAGAAGAAGACAAAATAGCTTTAAATTGAAAGGGGTTTGATTTAGATTAGATATTAGGAAGAAATTCCTTACTGTGAGAGTGGTGAGAAGGTTTTTCTTTACTGTGAGGGTTGCCCAGAGAGGCTGTGGATGCTCTCTCCCTGGAGGCATTCAAGGCCAGGCTGGATGGGGCTGGATGGGGCTGTGAGCAACCTGATCTAAAGAGAGGTGTCCCTGCCTACAGCAGGGGGTTGGAACTTGATGATCTTAAAGGTCCTTTCCAACCCAAACCATTCTATGAATTTTAATTTCAAGGGAAGAAAACAATACCTACATTTAATCTGTAAGAATGAACAACTGTTTGAACAATAGTAAAGTCTTCTGGAGCCAAACCAAGTGAAATAGTTCTCTTGAAACCCAAAGAAAAAAAATCAGCTATGTACTTACAGTTAATTTTGGCACTGCACTTGAACACATTAATTACTGTAAGATTAGTTATCTGCTCCAAAATACCATAACTCAATAAAATACACACAAAGAAATTAAACAGTGTGCTCAAAAGAAAATGGCTTTCTCCAAATCAGAGTAATAGACTGCAGAACTGATTTTCCAAAAAAGAGGTTTTGTATAACTACTGAGTTATACAAAATACACAAAGATTTTCCAAAAAAAGAGGTTTTGTATAACTACTTAGTTATATTTTCAGGAGAGGCTAAACATTACTTCAAAGCCAGAACAAACAAGAAGAACATGTATTTACAAGGTGAAGATAAACTTGAAAATGTTAAGAATCTTGCAAAATTAGAGACAACAAAACCTCAAATTTGCATTGCTGACACTGGAAACAACTACATTAGAATTACAGTCAGAGCAGCCCCAGTATCTCTGTATCTCCATATCCAGCAAGCTGTCAAAGGTTATAACCTCCTTGCCAATTAAGACAGCCTGAATCATTAAATCATTCAAGAACCTCCTGATTAATTATTGCTTCTCAAGTACTTTTGAGCTAAAGTTGACATGCATTAACTTCCTTAGGAATACATTACTTTGTCATCTTAATCAATCTTTTCATGTCAATTAATTTGATTTAAGCATCTCATTCTCCAACAAAATCAAATCCTCATCAGACAGTATGAACACACATCTAGCTTTAAAGATAGACTACACTTTCCTTGTTCTGAAGTCACTTATGATTTCAAGCTCTCTGAAAGGACAACAGGTGGTATCACCCAACCTAACTGACTTCTACAAGCTCCAACAGCTTCTCTCTTTCAGAAGACAACCATCACCTTCAAAATGTTTTTCTCAATGCTTATTCCAAATTCAAGGTAAGTAGAAAACATTTCTTCAGTATACATTTATAGAACCAGAATTTATTTCTACAGCTCTGCTGAAGATTCTTTAGCTTCACTCATTTTTGGTAAGTAACACAGAACTTGAAACCATGATTGTCTGATATACACACAGTGAGCAAGGTATTAACTGCAGTGAATTAGCAGATCAGAAAACATCTGCTTCTATTTTGCACAGAAGTGTTGTAATGATATTCCAAACTCTGTCATTCCAGTGGCCCAAAGTTAAGCCTGTGAAAAAGAAATCAAAAATGAAGCTTCACCTGGCATTCCTCTGACTCTTCTTCAACAGTGACTGAAGGAATTGAAGGCTTTGCTGGTAATTTTAGTTCATATGACATTATACTCCACCTAAAAGAAACACAGTGGCTTTTATGTTTCCAGATTATCAGAGTATTATCTTTTCTTAGGCATATCAACAAAAAGAAAATACACCATCACACAGAATAACCTCTTTCAAAAAGCTTAAATTTTAATCATAGCACAGCTGAATACGAGTGAAGTACTTGAAATGAAAGACATTTTATTACTCATATTTTTTGTTTTATCATCCAAAGGAGGGCTACAAAGATGGGGCAGAGCATGGAGGGGAAGATGTATGAAGGGTGGCTTAGGTCCCTGGGGTTGCTCAGCCCAGAGCAGAGGAGCTGAGGCGAGGTCTGATGGTGGCTTGAGCTCTTCACAGGGAGTGGAGGGGAAGCACTGGGCTCTGCTCTGTGTGACAGCACTATGGAACAGCATGGAGCTGCGTCATGGGAGGGCAGCTGGGGGCTGGGGACAGGGTCTGCAAAAGAGGGAGGTAGGCATGGAACAGCCTGCCCAGGGCAGTGGGTACAGCCCCGAGCTGCTGGACTTTAAGGAGTGTTTGGACAGTGCTCTCAGACATACAGTCTGCTTTTTGGGTTGTCCTGTGTGGAACCAGGAGTTGGATTCTATGATCCTTATGGGTTCCTTCCAACTCATGATATTCTATGACTCTGTGACTCTACAAAAAAGCTCTAGCTTCATATTTCCATGTATGGAGGCATGAGAACAAAGCAAATTCTGAAGTTTTCATTGCCATATATATTTTCCCTAGTAAAGGACAGTAAAGCATAGGAAGTATGAAATTGCTAATATCAACACCCCTCACACCTGCTGAAAAGAACAAGAGATCACTGAAGATGGCCTTGAGAGCAACTCAGTTGAAATTAGAGCAAAAATGAACTAAGTTCTTCTCAGTACAGAAGAAGAATATATGATTTAATCTGAATATTTCAGGAAGCCCAGATTAGCAATTATTTCTCAAGATCAGTAACAAGTACTTCTATATACACATTTCTGTAGAATGATCTAATAGTTTGCAATCAGGATTGTTCTTTTGCTTTATGTATAGAAGCATCTAGCCAGCAACTCGCATAGAAAACCAAGGGTGGAAAGGTTGCTTGGTTTTGACTAAGGAAATGCCATTGCATACCGAAAGAGCAATACTGGATCAAACCAAAGAAGCACTTCGCCTGGCATCTTGCCTACAGTTGCTGATGTCTCAGGCAAGAGCAAAGGCACAACATGCAAATTCTTCCCACTCTTGAGGATACAGAATTCAGGTATTTCCTAAATAACAATGCTACCTTTAATGGTATTTAATAGCACACAGGGAGTCTGTGAAATTGCCCAGAATGGTTTTGAATCTATGCAATTTCTTAATGTTTATAACTTCCAACAGACAGTTATGCAGCTTCATCAGTTATGTAAGGAAATATCTCCTCCTAATCATTTGTGTAAAATAATTCTCATCAACTGCCTTCCCCTCTGACTCTTTGGTTTGAAGCACACAGTGAAGATCTGTCTCAGTTACTATCTTGACTTTCCTCATGAGTAGGATCTTTACAGACATTGACATTTTAACATGGTCCAAGGTACACTTTTGTGGGTGTCCCTGCTGGAGCAAAGGCTGAACCAGATGGACCCAGAGGTCCCTGCCAACTTCAATCATACCATAATTCTGTGATTAAGTTTCTATGATGGATTTAGGCCACAAGAAACCCAAATACAATTTGAATCTCGTGATAAATCAGGTATATACACACGTCAGTTTACCTGTCTAACATTTTTGTGCTGGCTCTTTCCAATTTCTCCAAAATCTGAGGAAGCTGCGTATCATCATCACAGGATCCTCCCCAACCAAGGACACGAGCAAGGTCATTTCCAGTACCAAGGGGTAACACTCCTAACTGACACTGAAACACAACACAGGAGCAAATCTACTATTGAAAACTAGAAAGCACAATCTATTACAAATACTTGTTATTTCAATAACGTCAGTTATTTTAGCTGGTGTCAAAAGCTTGCAAATCAAATAGTGTAATTATAGTACAACTTTCCCCGCTTATTTCACAAAAGAGTCTCATTTAATGGAGTTTGGACTATATAGGCATGTAAGACAAGGCATAAATGAGAAAGAACCAAACTTGAGGAAGACTAAACTCACAAAAGTATAGTGAGGATAGCAAAGAAAAGTAAATATACACACTTGCCTGTTTGTGCAAGCTGAGTTTATCGATTTCTGACAACACCCAACCCACACTTCCATCTCCACCACATACAAGAATCCGGAAGTTGTCAAACTTCTGAAATAGCCTCAAACTGGAGAGAAAATGCAACCTGTTAGAGCCACTTTCATCACTAAGACAACAGTCACACTTGTGAGCAGACATGACAGGTATATGTGGTATCCAGCACCTCAACGGTGAGTCTGTTATTGTTATGAGGTATGTGGATGCAACCAGCTACTGTAGTAAAGCTATCTGCATACCCCATCTGTTGCTGTATATTTCACTTGTACAGACATTTCCGATAAATAACATGCAGAGTTTTATTTTAAAGGAATTCCCTTGATATTGTTTTCAGGATTTTATTGTTATTATTCAAAAAATGTCTAAGCTTTGAAATTACAGCTGTTCTGTGCTTCCCACTAAGGCCAGAAGCACAGGGAATTTTTTCACAAGTAGTTAAGATGTAACAACAGGATATCTTTCAGAACACCAGTGGGCTTTTGCCAACTTGTGGCTGATTAAACGCAAGGACAGTTGGAGGCAATTATTACAAGCAAGGTGATGACAACAGAAAACAAATATTGTATTTCATATTACATACTCAAAGCAATATCCTGATCTTACTTCCTATAGTTCCCCATTCTGTTTTACACAATATAATATCCTTCACCAGCTTTAAAAAAGGAGAACAAGAAAGAATAAGCAGAACAACTGACAGAACAAGGGGCAGTGGGCACACATTGGAACCCAAGTTCCATATGAACATGAGGAAAAACTTCTTTACTTGGAAGGTTACAGAGCACTGGAACAGGCTGCCCAGAGAGGTTTTGGAGTGTCTTTCTCTAGAGACATTCAAAACCTGCCTGGACTCTTTCCTGTGCAACATACTAAAGAGAACCTGCTTTAGCAGGGTGCTTGGGCTAGTGGTCTGTAGAGGTTCCTTCCAACCCCAAAGTTCTGTGATTGTGTGATTCGGTGAATTATGAGACAGAGAGGAAAGGGGAATGAGATATGGAGAAACAACCAAGAGGTAAGAACAACAGGGATTTAAAAGCAAACTAAGTAAATCTAAAATGAATGAATTAAAAAATGTTAGCTTTTAAAATAAAAGAAATAAATATGTTCACCTTAATGCATGTTATTTTCCAGAATATGTATAATCTGAGAACTATTTCTAAAAAGCAACACATTAAGATCACAATTATTTGAAGCTTTTATATTTTTCTAAAGTAAATAATGTCATTTGTACATGATAGGCAGTTTCAGAACAAAAGATACATTTATTTGAGGGAAGAATGCAGCTAAGCTTTTTAGATCAACTAGAAAAAAAGTAAACATCATTACTTCCTGATAGAATAATTTCTAAGAACCTCTCTTTGGAAACTGTTTGAGGAAAAATATTTAAGAGCAACCAATCTGACCTACAATTACTGCACAAAATGCAAAGTGAACCTCTTGAATCTTGGTGTTGATAAATAAAGGAAAAGAAGAAAGAGAACTTTCAAACAGGTGTATTTCTCAGATTGTCTCAAAATTCTCTCCAGTTAAAGAGAGCCTTCCTTACTTTTATGTTATGATTGCTATAATAATGTGCAAAATGTTAGCTGAAAGTGACATAGATTAAAAAGATTACAATAAAAAGATATTACAAGTTAAATAGTTAATATATTTTAAAAACACAGTACTAACTATAAAAATACAAGTTGTATTCAATTGCATTTGTATTATTTGCCCATTATTAAGTTTTTCATTTGCTATGGTTTAAATCTTATCATGCAAGCACAACTCTCCATCTTTAAGATTACAAAAAATAATGTTTTCAGTGGCTTTAACTGATCTTAGTAGGCCACTGAACCACAAAGCTACATCTGAGCAGAATTAAGTTTAAGAATTAAGGCAACAGAAAAATGTGCATGAATTTAATCTTTATGAATATGCAAAGATGCTTGAGTTGTGGCCATCACTATTCAAACCTCATCTCTATCTCTTCAACAATTAACCTTTAGATTATGTAGATGCCTGGTGATTTTAATCGTGGGCTGGCTCCAAATTTATGTGAGATGCTCATATTCATGTCCTCTTGCATTTGTTATCTAAGTCACACTTTGGACATATTTCTACAATGATGGAAGTTTTAGTGTACTTAATCACACACTGCAGATGAGGTTTACTAAGATGAAAATATCAACCTGTAATCCCTTCACCCACCAGAATTCACACTGAAACTCTGTTATCTACTGTAAATCTTAAATAGGAAGTCACATGCTGGATATTGGCAATAGAATTACTGCAATGAGGGGACAACACAATACTGTGCTTTGCACTAAATTCTCTCGCAGAAAGGATGGCTCAAGATTTCCAAGGTCATTACCCTAAGTGAGGTCCTCCATTCATTAAATCGAACACCTGAGCTGGATTTAACGACTGTTTGAATCGACGAAGAAACTTTACTCCCTGATTGTCTCCACTCTTTGAGTTAACAAAAACTAAAAGAGGACTGGCACAGGATGGCGGGCATGTGGCTTTCCAGAAACCTGCAAACATAGTTAGAAAGAATGAAATAAATAAGGCTTTCTAATATGAACAACACAAAAAGAAATCATGGGAAAGAGGAAGAAAGGAATGAAAGACAAAAGAAGTACATTTTATCATGCATTGTGTAAATGCTAAACTGAATATTAGCCCTGCAAGGAATTGCTCAAGATTTACCAGCTCGTTTTTTCTCTCTAATACTTTCAGTGTCTGTATTCAGTAAAATCCTGAAGACAATAGCTTTATTTTGTTTCGCAGCAAACAAGATTTGAGCATACTGCTCAAATCTCTCCACTGGTTATCATAGAATTAAATACATACTTCAGCTGGAAATGTTTGGTTTTTCATCTCATTTTTTTTTAGTGGCTTGAACTGGATCATCCAAGCCTGAGTTTTGTAAGAATGCTCACAGATTTTAAAGCTTATCATATTCAGTTTCTCTTCACATGAGAACTTTTTGGGGGGCTGAAGTTAGATTATTAATTATAACAGGCTCATTGAACAGCAGACCTTCAGTTGTGATTACAGGTTACTAATATCAACATAGGTCTTAAATGATTACAGCAGACTCTCAATAAGAGTCTCAATAGGCACTAATGGACACTTCTTGATACTTCTTGATAACATAAACATTCCATGGATGTAGTGCTTTCTCAGCAACACTTCAAAATCAAACATCACAGGTGTAGGTGTTGACATTTATTTCACGCAATATTAAAATAACTGTGCCATTTTTATTGCCTAAAATAAATACTAAAGCTATACATTAAAAAATGCCATTAAAGGATGCTACTATAATTCCACATTATCATAATGTATACTTCTAAATAAAATTTGTCTATTTTATTATAGTGCCAAGAAAAATAATTTCAAATATAGAACAATCTTGTTATCATGAATAACAGATAGCAGAATGGTGCTCTGATCTGGAGACCAAATAGCAAATAAATAGCAAAGAGTGATCATAGACAGCATAAACAATGACTTATATTATCTTCATACAGTAAAAATCATTAAACTGTATTAAATTTGCTGATCTCATTCAGCATCAACATGAGTTATAGAAAGAAAGCGGTTGGATTTCATGACAGTTTGTATTCATTCAATTCCCTGCCTTTAAGGACAGTCTCCCACTGCTTATATATTCCAAGACATCAAAGAACACCTCTAAATGTTTGCTGAGTTTCTTTATCAGTGTGTTGCAGGATTCTCACTTTTATTTGAAAGATGTTTAGAGGGACCACATAAGTCATTCTGCTCGTTAGCCTGATAAGGCAACTGTTGCATTGGAGCCATTCAGCTAGCTTACATTCAGTAGTATCAAGCAAAGTTATCTGAATTTGAGAGCTCATTCTACAAGGGTTGCATGTCAGGCAGGCATTGGATTGCTTTAACTAAGGACTATTCAGTTGAAAAATTTCTAAGAGTCATAAATTAAAATGGAGAAAATTTCTATCAGGGTAACTTTTAAAACTTTTTAAAAATTTTCTGTATAAATAACCCTCTAAAAACCTACATGGAAAACTGCACTGTTCTCTAACTGTGAAGACAACATTCGCTCGTTCAACTGAGAGATTTTAACCTTGCTTAGTCAAACAGAATGCAGTAGTCATTGCAAGTCCAGAGCTACCACTGAACACTCTACAATACTACGTACCATCAGAGTCTATACTGTTTAGTGCTGTTGGAGGTATGATCGATACCTTACATTGGCCAAGTGGACATTTACGAGGGTACAGATCCTTACACGCAGTGTGAACCTAGAAAACAAACAAAAAATGATTTCCCTAATCTACAGTGGTGGAACTACAACAGATAAGAGTATCTGTGGAACAAAACCAGACTAAAATTTAACGATTTGGTGAAGAGAGACCGTACAAAAACACGCGAGTCTTTAACCACAAAAGCTGGTTACACATTCCACAAAATGTAAGTTTGGAGAACTTCATCTCTGACTATTCCTATGGCAGGTATAAATTGTCCTTTCAATCGAATGGCTTACCTCCATCCCCTAGCAAGTTAGGACCAAATTCCCAGCAGCCAGCATCTATACTGAGGGGAGCAGGCACACTCTGAACACGCAAAGCTATTGCTCTGTACTTGCAGTTCACTTGAATATTCTGGAAGATGAACAAGCCAGCCAAACCAGCTGAAAACATATCCAGTGTCCCATAAAATATATGCTATATTGTCTTCTTCCATAGCTATTGGAAAATCACACATATGGAAGGTACTGTAATTCATCTAATTTCAAATCACCTCCGGAGATGCCAAGCACTTTCCACTGCCAACACACAGAGCCTTAGACATGTATATGCTGAGAGCCTTAAGAATAAAAAAATCTGCTGACTTCTCAGTTCTATAATTTAGCATATATATAGATTCTAACACACACAGCATTCTTTTTAGACAGGCTAAAAAAAAAAAGAAAAAATTATATTATGGGGGAGAAAGCAATTGCATTGTCATAGAATTTCAGTCAGCAGTTTACCAAGTATATTAAAGAAGAGAACTTCAAGAGTCTTGCAGTAAAATTGTTGAAGATAAATGCAAATTAGCTGTTATGAAAGAGACAAAAAAGTTAACATATGTTTATTACGCATACAGAACAGGCATCTGAACCTCCACAGTTATCAGTCAGGAGTAGACAGAGAAATCACACTGGATAACACCTATTAAAGAAAACTGCATTTGTGGGCGTATTAAATATTAAGCAAAAGAAGTAGGATAGTCATGAGAAATGTTGAATGTTAGAAAGACCTGAGTTTGCATAAGCTGCCTCTCCCTACTTAATCTAAAAGCGCAGTAATGAAATGAAAAAGTAAAAATAATGGCAAGTAACAGAGCTGGCAAAATCTTAGGCACTTGGATGTGGTACCTACCATAGCTTTACACCAAAGGCACTTCCAATCTTGTAGGCGTAAAACACTGCCACAGGTCTTGTCGCAGACTGCGCATTTGGCACTGACGGGCAAATTACCCTCTAACCATTGGTGAGGCATAGCTATCTGTGAAGAAGTAGCCATACAAGTTAAACATCCAGATGCAGAAATCACAGCTTTTGTCTTTCAATTACAGGTGAACTATAAGTACTTCCACAGCTCTATCTTTTCATCAAAAAAATGGCAAAGTAAGCGAAGTGACATTGAGCCTTGGTAGGCAACTGCTATCAAAATGGGCTGTGCTGCTGTTTCATAGGTTAGGCTACGAAATAGCCTAGGATAGGTAGAAAGTGTGGCAGCTGAATCATAGAATCATAGAATCACAAGATTGGAAAGGACCTACATGATCATCCAGTCCAACCGTCCTCCTATCACCATTACTACCACTAAGCTACTAAACCACATCTTGTAGTAAAAGAAAGGAAACACTTCTCACTCAACTATTCGTGACACTATGCTACAACTAGCACAAAACAATGAGGCAGTTAAATCTAGAGATTCTCTAAAACAAGTATGTACCCAGTCATTTAATACAGACTACGTAGCACAAACCCATCACAATAACTAAAATTCAGAAGAACAGGCAGGAGAGCAGAGTACGTATCTGGCTTTATGTACCACCTCAGTTATACAAGACTGGTAAGTCACAGCTCTATAAGCAGCCTCCGGGTTGAGGACAAAGCTGTTCTCTGTGCGCTCGCTGTCCCAGTAATAATAACTTGTGCATTAAAAGAAATTCCTAGGTGTGCAATTTAGTATTAATTCCAAACAGACTTCCTGGGGAACAGCTATCAGTAAGGAGGACACAAAATAGATTGCCAAAACAGCTTGGTAATGGTGTGAAATACCACTCTTGCTTAAGAGCAGTAGGAAATCCTCAGAGCAATCCTTCACCTTCAGTTTCTCTGCATGTGGTCTTTAAAATCTTGTACCACGCATTCAATCTGGTGTCCACAGACATTAAGCTTCTCTTGTAAGAAAGAAATACAACGCTTTGTTTTAAATACCATGATAATCTTCGAAAAGTGTTTGGAAATATGGCCACGTACCATTAGTTCAATGAGTCTCGTGACAACATTTCTATGCTTAGCCATTTTTTCCATTAAGAACCAGCTACTGGAAAGTACTGTAAATAAGAATAATACTTACACCATCTTCATCTTCTATGATATCTTTTCCAATGGAGGCTAATGTAGTCCATTTGCAGTTATTTGTTGCTCTGACAGCGCATCTTTTATGTGCTTTAAACTTACACACTGCAAGACACACATGAAGATGTAAACAGGGTTATTTGTTGCATTTCACTGATACATGTCCTAAAAAACCTTAACAGAGATATTCCATAAGACAGCCAAATACATGTCATTTACTGTTGCGCACGACAGAAACTAACAAAAAAGAAAATTCAGTTTATAATCACACCAGCTGTAACTCACTAAACTGGATTTAGAAGCAACAGATCCTGTATGCAGCCTTGGTCGTTTTTCAGACACGCTTTGAAAGACCTCAACATATCATAGAATCAGAGAATCATAGAATGGCCTGAGTTGAAAAGGACCACAGTGATCATCTAGTTTCAACCCCCCTGCTGTGTGCAGGGTTGCCAACCACCAGACCAGGCTGCCCAGAGCCACATCCAGCCTGGCCTTGGATGCCTCCAGGGATGGGGCATTTTTCATGTACAATGCAATGCACTGAAGTACTAACGTACTTCTAACACACCTCTATGTTTTTCCTGTTGTTACAGAGGCACAAATCACATACGTGTTTTAAATCTTTAAGATGTGGTGAAAATGCATTTGGGAATAGTTTTTTCTTCAGGAACTCTGTTTCTTTGGTGAAAGGATCCCTTTTACACACTGCAGTGTGCCGGCTTTCCCAGGAGCTGAGAAGGGGAAGAATTAAGTGATGATATATTTATTCAGGCAACCAGTGGTTACAGTATTTCTGAGAGGTTGCTGTAAGAGAGGCCTGACTTCTTACTGGATTATGTATAAAAAATACACTAACTGTAATAACTCAGCACAAATGTCTAATACAGTCAGACAAACTAATAACTATTTGTATTTCATTCCACTTAATTAGTATCACTAACTAACAATATCCTTCTACCCCAAACACAGTGACGCATAAAACTGTGTGTATTTCTTTTTACTGTAAGTATATGAGATCATTCTGTTTAGAGTGCATTATATAAATTATTTTAGCAAAGACCATTAAGGGTTTATGAGAACTAGCCAGCAGACCAGAAGAAGTAGTCTCTTTGGAACAAATATTTGACAGGAAACAATCAAAAGTTTTGGCCCATCACTTGTCCACCATTAAAAACATTAAGCCATGGCACAAATGGTCTTGTGAATCATAAATTTCTCATTTTAATTCCACTGATCTTTTGCCAGATCAATTTTAAAAGTGAATGCAAACTAGGTAAGCGACATTTGAGTTTGAGAGCCATCATCCCTATGCTGGGAGACATGTGACAGTATGTGTTTAGATCAAAGAAAGAAATGGAAACAGAAGTTGCTTTGTTGCTTTACAGCAGCTCCTCTGGCCATTTCAAAAAGCAGCATTCACAGCTCCCAACCAACAGGATAGGCTTGCATTTTCAGAATAGTTCAGCATCATAATGTGTGTTTGCCAACGCAAGCTGGTTCCATTTGCCTCAAATCTCAGCTGCCAGAGAAGTGCAGAAACTAAGGCTGCATTTCCAACGTGTTGGGCCTTAGCAGTTTTGCCTCTTGAATATTTTGAAGAAGACGTGCCATCAAATTCAGCTTCTAACTCACAAATGACACATATGTCAGATCTGTGTAGATCTGGGTACAACATATCAGGGATGAGGGGCAGTAGGAAATTCCAAATGACTAAGGCATAAGAAAATAACAATTTTCAAGCCCTATTCATCTACCACCTAGATCTCAGGGCCTTATATTCACCCTTTGCTCTCTCAGCCAAGCAGGAACAAATTCACACCAAGAATCCGAAGAGCTGCAGAAAGCCACACCATGGACAATATTCCAGCAAGCTATAATGGAAGTTTGATTTGTGGGCACAGTATAATTCAAATCTGAGACCAGATTTTCTGCAAATCATCCCATTGCAGCCCCAATATCATCAAAAAATTCATGTGATTTTGAGCAATGAACAAACATTTCTAGAAACAGTGATCTTAAGGCACGTGTGGAAATTTCAAGAAAAACACATCACTGTGCAGGAAAGAGGGGTATAAAAAGGGACATTTCAAATCAAATCTCAACAGCTACTCTCTAATTTCTTTTATCTCAGGAGATACTGGATTACATTCATGGATTAATCTGATATCTGAAATCTTCTGGAAACATGCAGGCATGTTGCTAAGCACCAGTTGCCATTACTTTGCCACTGAAATTTAAATGATGAGAAAAGGAGAAAAATAGCCCATCAGAATCTAGACTATTTGTAGAACACCATTTCACTTTTTAATTTCCTGTGTAAATATTTCTAGCTGGAACATGAAGCCAATCTCTCTGAAAACCAACCGAAAGAACCACTTAATTAGCGAACAGTTGTCACAGTTGCACCAACATCTGCTGTCAGACAGTGATTAAATCTGCAGCTATTATTATCTATAATGAAGAAAAGTCAACATTACTGAATGTCATCATAGAATCTCTTGCATTCAAAATAGAGATCTTTGCTATCAAACAAACACTTCTGTCTCAAAGGCCTTCCATTCTGTCCACCCATCAATTAATTCAGTTACACTGGGGAAAAGGCATTGCGTGTCCTGCCAAAGTTACCACTCTGCCACCTATTTTATGATGAGTTTTCTAATCTGTATTCTTCAAAAACCAAGAAGCTCTGACTGTACTTTTCCAGCTTCAAAAGCTAAAGCTCAAGTCTTGAAACTGATCTGAAGAACCGTGAGCTGGTATTTGTACATTGTTGAGTCGGAAGGATTTATCTTGGAGAGCAGTACATGAAACCTGATGTTTTGTTTCCAAAACTGTGATCACATGGAGGACTGAAAAACCTCAGGGAAAATGGAGAGATTCATACGAGAACAGCAACTTAACTTCACTCCTAGTTGCAGACTATGCTTCTGTTATAAAGGATAAAATTCAATAGGTTCTTGATAGCTTTTACTATTTTCATGCCAGTAACTAAATTGATTTATTTTACAAAGACATCACTAAAAGAATATTCATATTAAAAACTCGAGGACCACAAAATTCAGTTAGTCATGCAACTTTAATTTAGCTTCCATATGCAGGTGTGAAGCCTTTGGTTATATGATCATTCAATTCACGGAATGGATGATTCTTGTCAAGTATGCAGCTGTACCACACTCTTGTTCATAGCAGCCTTCAACAGGTATTTGTCTTATTTAACAAAAGCTAATTAAGCACTGTTTTTAGACATAAACATTCATTTCTTTCTAGCCTTTCTGTTTAATAATTATGTTCAGTACTACATTTTTTGAGTGCTGAAAAACGCACATTTATTTTCTCAGTGTACTGCCAAAATATGGGTTTGGTTTTGTACCTATTTAAATAAAGGAGTAAGTGAAGCCAGCAGAGTTTAAGGACAATGGCGTTCACTAATTTTTGTTATCAAGAATGAAATGAAGACCTATTTTTTCAATTTTATCTATCTTGTATGCACTTCTTCAAAACACAGCTTCAATTGATTTCTGCAGCTACTCAACATTCAACACTGATGTCATATAGGTCCCGGATTATCAACTGAGGTGTCCAGAAAATAAAAAACATACAGCTACTGATTTGATCCAAAATATCATTTACGTGATTTTCCCAGGATTAAAGAGGGATATAGTGTGATGCAAAGGCATAGAATACAGAATACAGAATAAAAGTTTTTTATTATAGCTTAATTCTTTATGAATGTCCTTTCTCTTCTGGGTAGTTTTACTCACTATTCACTCTACAGTCTTTAGAAAATGTGGCAAAAATCCTGGAAATGATGAACATCCAACTAGCATATGTGCAATGCCCTGTGCAGTGGGTAAGAAGAAAAGAGTTCTGTCAACAAAAGAAGACCAAGTGCACGAAGTGCAATTACTGAGATAATTTAATCCTCGTGTTTTATTATTGCTTGAATCATGATCCTCAAGTGTTCTTTCAACATTGCTTTGTCTGTGCAATTCATCATAGTAGAAAGCATCTCATTTAAACTGCAGTCTTCAGCTTATTACATATATTCTGCAATCAAGATTCAGTCACGACAATTAAACAATACAAAGAAAATACATATAAAAAACCTGCAATCCACTAACAAAGACTTGGGCAGAAAAGTGGTGTTAATACAGAGTAATTGAGGCTTAAAAGCATTTCTGTAGATAGTGATCTAGACCAAAAGACCAATAGACCAAAGCATTACATGTATTCATAACTTTACCTGATGACCTCTTAGACTCCTGAGCCTACAAGCAAGCTAAGCTCTAAATAACAGAAACATTTGTGGAGCATAAAGAACAAAAGCCATACTTGATTCAGCTTGCTTGGGACAATTTCAAAAGCAAATATTTAATCTCCTTGTCCTAGTATAGACTGTGGATGAACGTAGAGGAAGATCATTTCTTTAGATAGCTAGAGGAAAATCTTTGTTCATCAACATCACACACAGACAACACTTGAAAAGTACATTTTCTTTTGAGAAGACATGGAAAAAGAGATTGGTGGGAGAAACAGCACTGTACAACTGTGGACAAATAATTCTTTTTTTTTTTTTTAACAGTTAAAGGAATGTAGCCTAGTTTGATAGTTTGATATGAATTTACAACTTCAGTTTGACAGAAGTATCAATTCTTTGCCTTCTGAAGAGGCGTAAGTTCACACTATATTCAGTCCCCACACTAAAGGCATTAAAGCACTCTGCTTCCCAACACTGGCTTACATCAAACTTACAGGGGTGTCCTCAGAGTGGCCTGCAATTATTTTGGTCAACTTTTGCCAGAGGTTGTTGGAAGGGAAGAGGTGCTGAAAAAAGAAGGCACGCACCTTATTTCCAAAAGAAATGAGGCTTGTGCAGTCAGGTTTGAAAAAGCATTTGGGTAGTGCTGCTGGAGACCAGCAGATCTAAGAGAATAAAATATCAGAGGACTAATCTTCGAAAGTATCATAAACTGCAAAACATTAGAATGAAACTGGTTTTTATTTTTACCAATAGCTAGTAGTCAAGAGTCAGGCCAAAAGAGTACAAAGTCTCCAAGCTACTTTCACAATAGCTTGGTGTGCCAGTAACCCAAACCACTGAAAGGAGGAAGAGTTTCAATATCTCTCAAGAAGAAGCCTCTCATGCTTTTCAACACATGAGATAATAGAGAGGCTCGGGATCAATGACCACACATATAATTGAATTTAGTATAGATATAAATGGATTCCCAGAGTAAAGCAACATTGGAGGCTTCAGACGTCAGGCATGAATATTTAAACAGGTTTATTTCAAAGACGCAATGAGAAAAAGTAGAACAGAACATGTCAGGGGAATATTAAGTCTCAATACCTACTACATCATTTTTTCAGACAATATATATTTGCTAGCACTGGACAAGTGAAAAATAGATGGTCAACTGCATCAGAAGTGCACAGGACAGAAGCAAGTAAACACGATCTCAAGTCACCTAACATTTTCAGAGGAAGAACTAGCATCAAACTGAAGTACCTTTTTACATGAACAGGTTTCCATGGAACTGGGGGAGAAGTAAGAGTATTCCAAGACAAAAGCCAACCATCAACTGATTTAGATTAGATGGATAATTAAGGTACTTCTTTTATTTTTAAAAATACTGGGGTGAAAAAAAGATAAAATAGATACTAACTAGTAGCTAAGAAGAAAGTGGAGGTAAACTTCTTAACAGACAGATGAGTATCATAATATCTATATTTAAAACAACCCAGGACAAAAATGTTTATGAAACTGAGGGCAAAGGAGAAGCCAATCCAATCTATCATTAAGAGTCATTGGTAAGAACTGATGAAAGATCAATTGGCACCAGAAAAGTGAATAAATGTATGTTTGTAAAAATTTATGCAGACAGGTGACGGAGTCCAAATCTAGAAATTTCCTTCAAGTTAACATCAACCCCTTGGAAATAAGAACTATACTTAGAAGCACTAAAACCACACTTTGAAAACATTTAGAAAAATGATGAGCTACGACCATTAGTATTGATGATCTTATAAGAATAACTCCCACTAATCAACCTTCTAAAATAGCTATAATATTAACTTACAAAAGGATAAATACATTATGAAGGGAAAGGAGCCTTTCTTTTCCTTTTCCTGATTAAATATAGGTGTACTTGCACATAGAGGCAATACAACTGCATTTTAGCTAAGCATACAATACTTCCATCTGCCAGTATCAGACATGGGAAATACCATACTTGCTTCAAAATTGTCCAAATGACTTACACACAGCAGAAAACATATACCAGAGAAGCTGGATGTAACTATGCTACTTCTAATTTCTATGAAATGAGTCTCTACAGTTCCTTGATAACTGCACCATTAGTTACCTAGAGGTATTTGATAATATTAATGCACATCATCATACGCAGACCTTCAGTATCATAACAGCATTGACAAAAGAAATCTATTTGCAGTATGCTGACATGGACCCAACAATGAAGCCTTGAATGCAGTAATAACAGTTACTCCTTTCTGAATAGTTAGCTATTTGTAATTAAGTATTTCATACATAGCAAAAAAAGTGACACTAAAACTTGCCTCTGCATTTCGTATACATCATAAGGTCACAATTATGCTTTCTTTTCTCCTGTATTTTAACACTACCAGACTTACCACAGCTTTTTCAGAGTACTTGCAGCAGGAAATACATAAGCTGTTTCAGGTTTATTACAAATACTTGTTTGCAAAAGATCATTTCTCCAGATCAGCTTAAATCTGAAGTTTTAGTCACACCTCCTGTTTGTTTCTCCTGGATTTGTTTAACCATAACCTGCAAAGGCATTTAACATCCCTACCCCCTCATTGCATGACAGAATTTTTAAAGCAATAAACTTCTCCTCAGTGCAGAGCTAAGCGTTAATAATTTTTATAGACGTGGGGCAGAAAGTACCATTATGACTTTTTTTTTCCTGAGGAATGCTGATTCTGCACACCAGTAAGACTATTTTGCAACACATCTGCATTTTTCAAGTGCAAATCAAAGAAATCCTATCTTTCCTTGCAAACTATCCACCCAGGCAAGCACATTTCAAACTGGTAGCTGCAGCAGAAGGAAATATTTTATTGAAATGAGTCAGAAAAAGGCACCTGGAGCACAAAGAGGGTGAACCATATCATTAGTAGCCACTCTCCCCAAGAGAGAGTCACTCTACTGAACAGATTTCTCCCTTTGGGCTTTTTGCTAACTCATTATTTTCAGAATCATTATTTGTCTTAAGCTGTCGGTAATTTAGATGTGTACACAGCATTATAAAAGGAGGGAAGAAAGCATTCATTTTACCTTCGCAGGACAGGCCGTGAGAAGTGACTCCAGAGAGGCTCTCTCTGCACACGTTGCAGAAGGTGGGTCGGGCATGGGAGCAGGCGTACCAGTTATGCATCCCTGAGAAATGTTCCACATTAAACTGTGCCGTCTAGTAAAGGAGAAGTTAAGACAAATTTGCAAGTACAGAACACAGCTACGGTGACTGAAATTACCTACCGTTCCACATTACAGGGGACAGTGCAATGTTAGCAATAAGATTTTCACAGGGATACTTAGCTCGCTCTACCTCCAAACTTCTAGACAAAAGCATCACAAGAATCCCGTAGCAAGCTCTTAATGTGAAGCTTTATCCTGACACTACATAGACTTTTCACACCAAGAAAGGTGAGCTACTCTAGCTCTGTGTCCTGTTGCTTGATCTGTTCAGCTGGAGCAGGTAGCACCAACAGGGAGCTCAACTTACCTCATAGTGTTCCCGGGACTGTACGGACTTCAGAGAGCTTATCCAGTCCTCCATTTCTTTTCTGTTCTCAGCACACAGTATCAGCCTCCTAAACGGAGTGATTATCTGGAAAAGATTGGCATTCTGGTGATTCCAGATGGCAAAACCCATGACAGAATACAGTACCTAATGCAACATTTTCCATGAGATGATGCAAAAGGAAGACACACCCCAGACCACAAGACGTTCAGCACTTAACAGTAATGTTTTCGTTACTACTCTACCAATCACAAAAGAGTTTGTTTTTCCTTCTGCAGTTCCTAAGCTTCTCATCAGGCTTCAATATAGGCTTTTACAACATCTATTGATCGTGCCTCCTTCTCAGCTCTTTGTGCACTGGTGCTTAAGTACTCAAACAGAAGGCACTGAAACCAATAAAAGAACTGTTCTAGAAATCAGTAATTGATTAAGATTGCAATCCTAGTTCATAACAGTTACAGAAACTGCAAGATCCAGTCAAATTACGGGACACCAAACAAACAAATACATACTTAAAAGCCAAAAGCCCGGAAGACTTAAGACAACAACAATAAAAGCTTTCATTGTACTTCCCAATATCAAATATTGACAATAAACTCACACAGTTTTACACATACGAACAGTTAAACCAGAACTTTATATATAAAGTCTAGGAACACATACAAATCTCTATAGAGAGACACAGAGAACAAATGCAAACATCTGAAATCAAATCCTACAATCCTACTGGAGCAGTCGAATAAATTCCTGGAGCAAGTTGATGCTGAAGAGATTTCAGTGGTCTGGCTTTAGATACTAGAATTCTGAAAATGCTCTATCTAGGAGGTTTATTCAAAGCAGAAGCTGTTTCTTCCTTTCCCTCACCAGTAGGAAAATAATAAAAATACCAGCAAGGCATCAGAAACTATCATCAGCAAACTCCCACTGAAATTATTTTCAGCATTGCACAAAAATAGATTAAGCAGTTACTTTCACAGCAAAGAATTTAAAACAAAACAGGTACACGAAATTAGAGGGAAGTTATTTGTAGTTGGCTTTTTTTTTTTTTTTTTTTTTTGTAGGATGTCTGAAAAAATTAAGTGTAATCTCTATCACACCTAAACCCACTGCATAGCACCTACAACCCACACTTGCAGATTACTTAAATAAAACAAAGAAAGGACCACCAAAAAATGCCATCCCTCAGCGCTGCTTGAAATGCTACAGGCTATGGATAATAACATTTGCACAACATTAGCAAGCACTCACCTACATCTGCATTTACTTACCCAGTGTCTGCTGCAAATAGTCTCTAGCCTTGATTTGTTCTATCCACTTCTTCATTAAACTGAGCTGCACTTAACGTATCTCAGAGGCAATGCAACTGAAGTGCAGCAAGCTGCAAGTCACATGGAATAGAGGCAAAACCCTTTGGGTTTGCTTTCTTTTCCTCTTTTTTTTTTTTTAAACGTATATACTTCAAATGGAAGGGAATAGTTTCTCCGTTTTCTATTTCGTTCAATCTTGCTTAAGCTTTTTAATAAGGTTTATTAGTAGCTATCTGTGACTCTTCCTAAAGAACAGTTAATGCAAAGAGCAATGCTTCTCTCATTAGTTTGGAGCCAAACAGACGCTTTATTACTTCAAAATGTTTTTCTAGGCCAGGTCATCAAATGAAGCCCAGAAAAGCCATTAAATCATAATATAACCCTGGCTCCAACAACAATCAGCATTCTTCAGGAATTTCCAGGTTTCAGCAGACTCAGAAATCTTATTTGCGCAAATTCAGCCACCAGATTATTTCTTATTATCTAGCATGACATTATACGCAGATTAAGCAAGGAAAAAGCCCACCCAAAATGCTGAGTTTCAAATCTGTTCTCATTCCTAGTTCAACCGTGTAACCAGGTGTTGCAGAATGCCATTAAGCAACAACAACTGCATTGATTACCAGTGACTACTGAAAATCTTGATATTTTCAAGTAACATCTATTTATGCTGCTCTTGTCTTTAGCAGTATCAATTGTGGAAATCCCCTAGGTACTCTCTCACTCTCCTCTCTCAAAATCAAGACTTCAGTTCAGTTTCTCACAAAGAATTATCTGCTGCCAGCTGAGATCAGAGCATCATAAAATCATAGAATGGCCTGGACTGGAAGGGACCTCAAGGACCTGGACACAGTACTCCAAATTGGGCCTCACAAGGGCAGAGTAGAGAGGGATAATCACTTCCCTGTCCCTGATGGTTACCCCTACCAAGATGCCCTCTGGTAATCCAAAGCATCAGCAGAGGGCTGGTAAATATGACAGAAGACAACAGCACCTACAGAAACAACTATAAAGGAGTCTGGTGGGCACACAAATGTCCTGGCTACAAAATTATGGCACCAAACATCACTAATTAATGCATACAAACAGCAGAAATTCCTACATCCCAAGTTCTTATTAATTATCCACTCCGAGTACTTCAAGATCCAAAGAGTTAAATTATATACTGATGGTCATATGAATGATCAGTGCTACAAAAACAAAGTTGGAAGGTACGTATATGTACGTATTTGCATGATTATTAATCTATATATTCTCTTTACATGTTTCTAGCAACAAACTTCAAGAAAGAATATGACACATGAAAGAAGACAAAATGCATTATATGCTAAAATACTGGCAAGATTGGGTGGCAGAGAGAGAGAGAGAAGCCACAATATGCTCTCATTTATTAGGTACAAATGTTGCTCTGAAAGTAATGCCTCTTACTTACTTCTTTGGAAACTACAACAAAGAGCTCAAGAACACTTTGATAGAGCAAATTCTCATTTACAAAACAGTTTTTCATCACAGTTACCACCAGAAGCTATGCATTCTCTCCAGCAATGAACAAGAGCCTAAATGCCATGCTCGTAACAATCTGCACTAGTGGAGATGACCACTGTTGCTGTTGCCACTGCTGAAATGCACCACCCACCACCTCACTCTGCTCACATCCACTGTTCAGTTTCCATAAATGTTGACTGAGGGTCGATAAATGTCAGTGTGTGTCATGTTTTTTTCACATGGAGGAATTCATAGACACTATCTTTGTTTCATACGTACTTCCACATAAGACATCATTCTGTCAGACTGCCCCTCTGCTGCCATCTGTCACACAGCAACAGAATGGAACAAGATACTGGTGGGAAGGTTCAGCTTCTATTACCATACCACCAACATCTGCCTCTGTTGTCATGGGCTAATAATAAAACAGGAGGCATTACGTTCAGAGCAGCTCTCATAATTTACGTAGTATGAGAACTCAAGGAACTAAGGAAATGATTATCAAGCAAAAAGTGGTCATTGGGTTTTTTTTGTAACTGACTTGGAAAGTATTTCCAAAGGCTGTGTAGGAGACTGAGGTATTAATGTCTAAAAAGGTATCTAACAATTTCATCAAGAACAGATGTGCCATGTACTGTAAAACACAACATCTCCAGTCCTTCAACTTAGGAAGTCTATAAAGTCCAAAAATTACTAAGTATTATGAAGTTATGAAAGAGGAAGAATTACTGTATATGTCCTGCTTCTTAAACTCCTTTCATGAACAACTGCTACTGCTGTTATAGCACTCTGATTCAGTAGTTTTATGTGCTTTACAATGACTCAGTATCTTACTTGTCCTAAACTCAGAATGATTTCATAGATCATCTTACTTGCATTTATACAGAAGACATTCTTATAAATGCTCATGGAACGCTATGATAAATTAACCTCAGTAGAATGTTTGGAGTGCATTTATTCCACAGAATTAAAGACAGTTAAACCTGCATGCAGGCATAATCAAAATTAAAATGGTTATAATTGTTTTTAAAGTTAATTTGTGACCATGTAAACTTGGTAATCTCATTTTATTGCATGCAGCCGTATTCATACTCCTGTTATCTTGTATCCTTTCTTCTATTACATATACCACTTTTTTCATGATTAATATTCACTGCCCCAAATATTATTATTTATAGATCATTCCTATAATATTTTTAATATTTTATATATATATATATTATATAATCAGAGAAAAGAAGAATTCGTATAATACAATGGCAAAGGAAGTACCACAGAAACCACTGGAAGATCACAGGAGGAACAAAATAATAAAAAAAATTCTTAAATCTTGGGGGAAGTACAGTGCTAATGGTTCACCTGCTGACAAAGCAGCAGACAAATCAAGAAGAATGAAGACAGACAAAAGGCTTTAAAATAAGTAGATTTAATTTAGAAGATTAAGTTGCTTTGAAAATTTTCACCCTTGTCAGGTAGCCAGTAAGAAGTCATTCCTGGTTTGGGGAGAGAAAATTACCAAAGCCAGATTCTTCAGTATACTGTAAAGTAATGAAATTGAAGTAGTAGGAATAAAAAACACGCTTAATGCAGAAGGTATAGGGAAAGAGAGAGGGTGTACAGTCTGAAAAGCCAAAGGGAAACAATACAAATCCTGAAATATCAGAAGGAATAAAGAATCTCTGTATAGAAAGAAAAATGGCCCACTGTTGTGACAACATTACTGTTCTGTTCAGAAAAATAAGGGTTTTTTTCACTGGAAATAAAGGGCAGATGAAGAGGACATTTCTCAGACTGTAACCATACAGGATTTGCCATAAATTTGGATTTTCTGACATAATGAAAGAAAGATAATTTGGCTTCTAAAAAAAGCATGCGTGCTCATACATATATACACACAACTAGAAATTGTACTGATGAAAATGACAAGTTTTGCACCATTACTGCAACTTTTACTTCAAAGACCACTTATAGGGAAAAAGCTCAACACTCAAAAAGAAATAAAGTTACCATTAAATTCACTGCAGATTTGAAATAATCTTTTGCTCTCAAGAGGGCTCACTTCATCAATAACACTCTTCTATGTCTTCAACCCCATGGGCTTATATTTGGGGAATGACTAAGAGGGTGGACAGTGATAGGACAAGGGGGAATGGATTTAAACTGAGACAGGGGAGGTTTAGGTTAGATATTAGGAGGAAGTTTTTCACTCAGAGGGTGGTGATGCACTGGAACAGGTTGCCCAAGGAGGCTGTGGATGCCCCATCCCTGGAGCCTGGTCTGCTGGTTGGCGACCCT